AGCAAATGGAGAGTAAAAACAAAAGCAGGGGTAGCAATCCTAGTCTCTGATAAAACAGACTTTAAACCAACAGAGATCAAAAGAGACAAAGATAGGCATTATAAAATGGTAAAAGGATCAATGCAACAAGAAGAGCTAACTATCCTAAATACTTATGTACCCAATGCAGGAGCTCCCAGATACATAAAGCAAGTTCTTAAAGACCTACAAAGAGACTTAGACTCCCACACGATAATAGTGGGAGACTTTAACATTCCACTGACAATACTGGACAGATCAACAAGACAGCAAGTCAACAAGGATATCCAGGACTTGAACACAGATTTGGACCAAGCAGACCTAACAGGCATTTACAGAACACTCCACCCCAAATCCACAGAATACACATTCTTCTCAGCATCACACTGCACTTACTCTAGAATTGACCACATCATTGGAAGTAAATCAGTCCTTAGCAAATGCAAAAGAATGGAAATCATAACAAACAGTCTCTCAGACCACAGCACAATCAAATTAGAACTCAGGATTAAGAAAAGCACTGAAAACTACACAATCACATGGAAACTGAACAACTTGCTCCTGAATGACAAATGGATAAACAGTGAAATGAAGCCAGAAATAAAAATGTTATTTGAAACCAAACAGAATGAGGACACAATGTACCAGATCCTATGAGACACATTTAAAGCAGTGTCTAGAGGGAAATTTATAGCAATAAATGCCCTCATGAGAAACAAGGAAAGATCTAATATCAACACCCTATTGTCAAAATTGAAAGAACTAGCGTAGCAAGATCAAAAACACTCAAAAGCAAGCAGAAGACAAGAAATAACTAAGATCAGAGCAGAACTGAAGGAGATAGAGACATAAAAAAAAAAGGCAATAAATCCAGGAGCTGGTGTTTTGAAAAGATCAACAAAATAGACAAACTGCTAGCTAGACTAATAAAAAAGAAAAGAGAGAAGAATCAAATAGATGCAATAAAAAACAATAAAGGGGAGATCACCACCGATTCCTTGGAAATACAAACTACCATCAGAGATTACTACAAACAGCTCTATGCACATAAACCAGTAAATCTGGAAGAAATGGATAAATTCCTGGACACTTGCACACTCCCAAGACTAAGCCAAGAAGAAGCTGAAACTCTGAAGAGACCAATAACAAGGTCTGAAGTCAAGGCAGCAATTAATAGCCTACCGACCAAAAAAAGTCCAGGTCCAGACAGGTTCACAGCTGAATTCTACCAGACATACAAAGAGGAGCTGGTACAATTCCTGTTGAAACTATTCCAAACAATACAAAAAGAGGGAATCCTCCCTAACTCTTTCTATGAAGCCAACATCATCCTGATACCAAAATCTGGCAGACACAACTAAAAAAGAAAACTAAAGGCCAATATCCATCATGAACACTGATGCAAAAATCTTCAATAAAATACTGGCAAATCGAATCCAACAGCACATCAAAAAGCTTATCCACCACTATCAAGTAGGCTTCATCCTGGGGATGCAAGGCTGATTCAACATATGCAAATCTATCAATGTAATTCATCATATAAACAGAACCAAAGACAAAAACCACATTATTATCTCAATAGATGCAGAGAAAGCCTTCAACAAAAATTCAACAGTCCTTTATGCTAAAAACTCTCAATAAACTAGGTATCAGTGGAACATATCTCAAAACAATAAAAGCTATTTATGACAAACCAACAGCCAAATATCATACTGAATGGGCAATAATTAGAAGCATTCCCTTTAAAAACTGGCACTAGACAAGGATGCCCTCTCTCACCACTCCTAATTCAATATAGTATTGTGGAAGTTCTAGCCAGAACAATTAGGCAAGAAAAAGAAATAAAGGGCATTCAATTAGGAAAAGAAGAAGGCAAATTGTCCCTATTTGCAGACGACATGATCATATATTTAGAAGACCCCATCATCTCAGCCCAAAACCTCCTTAAGCTGATAAGCAACTTCAGCAAAGTCTCAGGATACAAAATCAATGTGCAGAAATCACAAGCATTCATATATACCAATAACAGACAAATGGAGAGCCAAATTATGAGTGAACTCCCATTTACAATTGCTACAAAGAGAATAAAATACCTAGAAATACAACTAACAAAGGAGGTAAAAGATCTCTTCAAGGAGAACTACAAACCACTGGCTAATATCCAGAATCTACAAAGAACTAAAGCAGATTTACAAGAAAAAAACAAACAAACTCATTCAAAAGTGGGCAAAGAATATGATCAGCCACTTTTCAAAAGAAGAAAATATGCAGCCAACAAACATATGAAAAAATGTTCATCATCACTGGTCATTATAGAAATGCAAATCAAAACCACATTGAGATACCATCTCATGCCAGTTAGAATGGCAATCATTAAAAAATCTGGAGACAACAGAGACTGGAGAGGATGTGGAGAAAAAGGAACACTTTTACACTGCTGGTGGGAGTGTAAATTAGTTCAACCATTGTGGAAGACAGTGTGGCGATTCCTCAAGGACCTAGAAATAGAAATTCCATTTGACCCAGCAATCCCATTACTGGATTATAAATTGTTCTATCATAAAGACACATGCACACATATGTTTACTTCAGCGCTGTTTACAATAGCAAAGACCTGGAACCAATCCAAATGCCCACGGATGATAGACTGGACAAAAAAATGTGGCACATATACACCTTGGATACTATGCAGTCATAAAAAATGATGAGTTCGTGTCCTTTGTAGAGACATGGATGAACCTAGAAACCATCATTCTCAGCAAATTGATACAAGAACGGAAAAACAAACACTGCATGTTTTCAGTCATAGGTGGATAATAAACAATGAGAACACTTGGGAACAGGGAAGGGAACAACACTCACAGGGCTAGGCAGGTAGTGGGGTGGAAGGGAGGGGAGGGGGGACAGCGGGGCATGGGAAGGATGGGGAGGGATAACACCAGGAGAAATGCCTGATATAGGAGACTGGGGCAGGGGATGGAGACGGCAAACCACCATGGCATGTATCTACCTATATAACAATCCTGCAGGATACAGGATGTGCACATGTACCCCAGAGCCCAAATACAATTTTTTTAAAAAGTATGCATCTAATAAGATTGTCTCAAGATGTATAAAGCAAAACTCTCAAAACTAAAGTAAAATAGAAACAGGTATACAATAATATTGAAAGATATTAATACATTTCTCTCAATAATTGACAGAATAACCAGTCAAAACATCAATAAGGATATAGAAGTTCTAAACAACAGGATTAACAGAATACCTTGATCTTAATGGACATATATATAAAATTGTACCCATTAACTGCAGCATACATTTTTTTCAAGTACACGAAACATTAGCATAACAAAAATTGACTATACACTGAGCCAGAAAGCAAGTATCAACACATTTCAAAGGAGTAAAATCTCATAGAACATATTCTCTCACCATAATGTAATTAAGCTAGGTATCAGTAATAAGATAACTAAAAATTTCCTATATATTTTGAAACACACTTCTGGTAGAAATTAGAAAATATTTTAAACTGAATAAAAACTATGAAATTACGTAGCAAAACTTGAAGGATGCAGCTAACTAGTACTTTGAGAAAAATTTAAGATCTTAAGTACTGTATTACAAAAGCAGGAGACTAAAAATTAATAACCTAAGTAGCTACTGCAATACAACAGAAGCAGCAAGAAAGTCTCCACAAAATTCCAAAAAAAGTAAATTAAATAATAAAGAGAAAGATACTATAAAACAAAAACAAACAGACCTCTGGGAACAAATTATCAAAAAAGGAAAGGAGGGCCTAAATAACACCAGAAAAAAAATAGTGATACCACTGTACATCCTACAAATAGGATCCTCATAAAAATGTATGCCAAAAAGGATATTTATGAATATTTTATACTAAAAATTTCAGAGTTAAACAAAATGGATAAACATTACTTACCAATATGATTCACAAAATAAGTAGAAAACCTAACTAGTCCTATAGCCATTAAGAAAATTGCATGAATAATCAAAAATCTTCCCATAAAAACTCTTCAAGACAATCATCAGACTTCTCCAAAATAATTATCAAGGTGAAAAACAATGAGAGGAAGAAAGAACCTACAAATTAACAGAGACTTAAAAGAGTTATCACTTAAGTGCAGTATAAAGACTGTGTGTAGATGTTAATCCAAACAAAATTGAAAAAAATCTGAGACAATAATTAGACTATAAACTGAAAATGTGATGGTATTAATGAGTTATCAATTTTTAAGGTGTGGTAATGTTTTGTGGATATATTAGGTAAAAGCAGGGGATTTGTGTTTAATGGATTATATGATACTTACAGGTGGTATATGATATCTGGATGTGCTTCAAAATAATCCAAGGTGGGAGGGGGAAAGAAGGAGGGGTATGGTAGAAAAAAGATTGGTTCATATATTGGAAATTGATAAAGATAGCTAACAGGTATGTGGAAGTTCTCTATTCTGTTCTCTCTATATATATGTTTACAATTTTCTCTAATAGAAAGTTTTAAAAGAGTAAATCCAAAACCAACAAGGTACTCCATAATCTGGCCCCTCTTCCCTCATGTCGTCTGTGCTCCAGGCACACTGTAATACCCGTCACACCTCTGCCTCGGGACCTTTTTGGGAGTCATTCCTTCTGCTTAGAACCCTCCTGTTCCAGATGTGCACATGTGGCTAGCTCCCTTGTTTCTTCAGACATCTCTTAGCTCTCTAGGTTCTTATCAGAGTGGCCTTCCCTGTCCACTATAAAATCACAAACATGATTTTTTTTCCCATTTCAATTAGAAATACTAGCTTCTGGGGGAAGGAAATTCTGTTCCATTTACTCTTAATTCCCATCACCTAGAACAGTGACTTAACACATGTTGAATGAATATATTTATGTTGAATAAAAGTAAGTAATGAATTTAATAAAAGAATAAAAAACAAATGTTCTAGAACCTATATGCTGTCAAGGTTTATGTAATTTACTTTGTATCTGATTCTAATTTATGCTTCATCTCCACAATTTCTACCATGAAGAGATCAATAGGGTAACCTGGTCTTTTAACAGCCAAAACAGAATCCACCACAGCCTGAAAGAGAAGTGAATGAGAACAGTAAGTTATTTGGACTATTAAAATAATCCAATGGCCCAAACAATCTATCACCAGACTAAGGATATAAAAGCCTTCAGGATTCAAAACACAGGGCAAGAACAATATGTGCCACTTTATTGTGGACACAAGTAATAACCAACGCCAACAGACACTGTAGAGTCTAGAGAAACTTCGGAGATCATCAGGTCCAAACCTTTTATTTCACAGATAAGGCAATTGAGATAAGACCTTAAGAAGGAGCTCTTTCCTTTCGCTGCTGCGGCCGCAGCCATGAGTATGCTCAGGCTTTAGAAGACGCTCGCCTCTAGTGTCCTCCGCTGTGGCAAGAAGAAGATCTGGTTGGACCCAAATGAGACCAATGAAATCGCCAATGCTAACTCGCGTCAGCAGATCCGAAAGCTGATCAAAGATGGGCTGATCATCTGCAAGCCTGTGACGGTCCATTCCCGGGCTCGCTGCGGGAAAAACACCTTGGCCCGCCGGAAGGGCAGGCACATGGGCATAGGTAAGCGTAAGGGGACAGCCAATGCCCGAATGCCAGAGAAGGTCACGTGGATGAGGAGAATGAGGATTCTGCGCCGGCTGCTCAGAAGATACCGGGAATCTAAGAAAATTGATCGCCACATGTGTCACAGCCTGTACCTGAAGGTGAAGGGGAATGTGTTCAAAAACAAGCGGATTCTCATTGGAACACATCCACAAGCTGAAGGCAGACAAGGCCCGCAAGAATCTCCTGGCTGACCAGGCTGAGGCCCGCAGGTCTAAGACCAAGGTAGCACGCAAGGGCCGTGAAGAGCGCCTCCAGGCCAAAAAGGAGGAGATCATCAAAACTTTGTTCAAGGAGGAAGAGACCAAGAAATAAAAGCTCCCCCTTTGTCTGTACATACTGGCCTCTGTGATTACATAGGTCAGCCATTAAAATAAAACGAGCCTTTATCTGCTTGCCTCAAAAAAAAAAGACCTTAAGAAGTTACAGGCGGGGTGGCTCACGCCTGTAATCTCAGCACTTTGGGAGGCCCAAGCGGGCGGATCACCTGAGGTCAGGAGTTCAAGACCAGCCTGGCCAACATGGTGAAACCCTGTCTTAAAAAAAAAAAAAGAAAGAAAAAAGAAAAAAAGTTACAGTTTTAAAATATGATTTAACAGCTAGTAACAGGGCCAGGACTAGAATTCAGGTCTCCTTAACTGCCAAGTTAACTCTATCATATAAAGATTATCCAAACTTTTCCACCAAAGGACACCTTAATGGGAAAAAAGGAAATGTAATTTAAAGTAATAGCTCCAGTATGCTGGCTATACTAACAAAAAATTTTAAAGTCTCATGTTTCATCATGAAAAGCTTTCATGTCACCCTGTAATGTGTTTAGCTCAACATGAAAATAATGTTTTCCCAAAAAATTGTAAAGTAAAATTAACACTCGAGAAAGATATGTCGCATTAATTCTGTCACATTTGACAAGGGATATACAATTTAAGACGCATAGCACATTACATCTTATTGCTTAGCTCAGAAAATGATAAATTACTGCAGAAATTAACAGCTAAGTTATAAGTAGCCTAAAATACACATAAAGAAGAAAAACACTATCTTAGATTTACCTGAGGTGACATAATATTTGATTTTAAAGCCAAATAATGAATTTTAAAAGGCCATTGGATGTGAGAATACCAGTGTTTCTGCAACTCCAAAACAGAATGGGTGCCCCAGTAGCATGAAGATTCTGGGCCATTTGAGTACCCTAACAGCAGAAAACACAGCAGAGTCTTTCTGCTGACTCTGCTCATCAAAAAATTGCCCGATCTTAATCTGATTTCCCAAGTTGGTTTTTTTAATGGTAAGGAGAATCGACCAGAAACAACTCAGGTATTCCAGTACATTTGGCATTTGTAGTTCTCAAAGTAAATTATTAAGATAGTATTCTGCTTTGCATGTCAATGTCTTGTGAATTTGTTTCCTTTGAATTTATCATTCCTGGGAAACAAATATATTCACGTTTTAGAAACTATAAAGCTGAGAAACAATAATGATACCAAATCATTGCCACCTGTCAAAAGCCTTCCAAAATATCCAGCCAATCTTATCTTTATATAAAATACATTTTTTTCTTGAGACAAAGTTTCACCCTGTCACCCAGGCTGGAGTGCAGTGGCATGACCTCAGCTCACTATAACTTCCCACTCCGGGAGTGATTTACCTGCCTTAGCCTCCCAAGTAGCTGGGATTACAGGTTCCTGCCACCATGCCCACCTAATTTTTGTATTTTTAGAAGAGACAGGATTTCATCATGTTGGCCAGGCTGGTCTCAAACTCCTGACCTCAGGTGATCTGCCCACCTTGGCCTCCCAAAGAGCTGGGATTACGAGTGTGAGCCACTGTGCCCGGCCTACATAACATATATTCTACCTTTAGAAATAAACAAAACACCGGCCAGATGTGGTGGCTCACACCTGTAATCCTAGCACTTTGGGAGGCCAAGGCAGTTGGATCATTTGAGGTCAGGAGTTCGAGACAAGCTTGGCTAACATATTGATACTCCATCTCTACTAAAAATACAGAAATTAGCCAGATGCGGTGGTACATGCCTGTAATCCCAGCTACTTGGGGGGCTGAGGTAGGAGAATTGCTTGAACCTGGGAGACAGAGGTTGCAGTAAGCCGAGATTGCACCACTGCACTCCAGCCTCAGTGACAGAGTGAAACTCTGTGTCAAAAATAAATAATAAAAGAAATAAACAAAACAAACATACATTTCCAAGATGTGAATATTAATACGTTAATATATCCTATCACTCCCATTTCATTATATTGGTAACCTTATCTACAAGGCACACTGCTAAAACAAATATCTCATGTGTTACCTCACATAGTAAAATATGGACCTCTAGGTTTAAAAAGACCAATATACTATTCAAGAGCTTCCACAAGAGATGATCCACAGGCAGCCAAACCTTTCCCAACTTTTAAGTCACATTTTTAAAAAGGCCTAGTATGATACTGCTGAAAATTACAAATACTGTTCTGACCACTCGAATCTAGTCTATAGGTAAGCCTATACAATAACTGTCTGTCTTCCATATTTTAAATCTAAAAAACCACATGCAATACTTGATTATCTTACAGAAAAAAGAAAACTATCACCATGTTTTTAGGCTATGCTTGTTCTGAATGCAAAAGTTTAATAACATACTTCTGTTAACACATCAGCCAGTTCAGCATGAACTTTAGTTTGTAATGATGTTCTAGCTACATCTAAGAGGATTTTTCTTTTCATCTCCTTTGTCACTTTAACTTCCTCCAAAACTTCAAGTGCTTTTAACTTTGCAGCTTCCAATCCTTTGGCTATTATTCTAGGCTGCAGGCCCTGTTGTTACATCAACATAAAATTATAAATTATAAAATAAGTCATCCAAAGTAAAAGTAACCATTCTGTCTGATTAATACATTATGTCCAAAAAATTACTCACATTAATGCCATGAAATATAAGTATATGTAATTTATAAGTCATTTTAGTGCTTCATCCTTGAAATGATCTCAAACATACAGTAAAGCTGCAAGAATAGTACAAAAATTACAAAAGTCCTTTTCATTTCCAGAAATTCTGACTGCATTGTTGTTATGTGGTGCCCTTCTGAATGGGTACACAAAAAAAGATACTTTCAGGCCAGGCGTGGTGGCTCACACCTATAATCCCAGTACTTTGGGAGGCCGAGGTGGGTGGATCACGAGGTCAAGAGATCAAGACCATCTTGGTCAACATGGTGAAACCCCATCTCTACTAAAAATACAAAAAATTAGCTGGGCATGGTGGCGCGTGCCTGTAATCCCAGCTACTCAGGAGGCTGAGGCAGGACAATTGCCTGAACCCAGGAGGTGGAGATTGCAGTGAGCCGAGATCGCGCCATGGCACTCCCGCCTGGGTAACAAGAGCGAAACTCCGTCTCAAAAAGAAAAAAAAGATACTTTTCAATGCAGAGGAAAAGAACCATCGTTGAATTGGGGAAAAGTGGCAAACAGAATACTGTGGTGTCTACCACTTCACCGAGTGATCAAAGTTAACATCACAATAATGAGACAGACAGGCATCATATGCCTCCTGATATGATGCATTCAGTAGAACACAACACTTCTGTGGTATTCCTGCCCACAATCTATAACTTGAGTTTACTTGAGAAAATAGGCACATCCAAATTGAGGGACTTTCTACAAAATAACTGGCTGATACTCCTTAAAAGTAGCAATATCATGAAGCATAAAAGGTAGCTCAGGAACTACTCTAGCTTAAAAGATACTAAAGGAACATAACAACTGAATGCAATGCAAGAACTTAGATCTTTTTTTCTATAAAGAACACTATTAGTACAAGTGGTGAAATCAGAATAGAATGCAAATTAGATAATAGTCATGTATCGTGTTGATGTTATTACTAATTTCCTGGTTTTTATAACTATACTGCAATTATATACTTCCCTGGTTTTAAGAAATACATACTGAAATATTTAGATCACATCTGCAAAATACAGTTTAGAAAAGAATATGTACACTGATATTAAGGAAGATAACAGGGCAGGCAGGGAATGAGAGAAAAATATTTGAAGAATCTGGGTAAAAAGTAAACAGGAATTCTTTGTAGTATGCTTGCAACTTTTCTATAGGTCTAAAATTATGACAAAATTTGATAATAATATTTTTTGTTCCATAAAATAATACACAAACTTTGTGAAAGCTAGCACTTGGTTTAACTCATTCCGTTACTTCTTTTCTTTACTACAATAATCTTTAAAAGTTGGCATTGAATATCTGTGCTGGACATGACTCTAAGAAATACATGAGTTATTTAATCCTCTAGCCACACTATGAAGTGGATATTATTTTTCCTATTGCACAGATGAGGAGACCAAGGGTTAAAGGGATAATGTAATTTGCTTTAGATCACCAAGATAATAAGGAGTGAAACCAGGGTTTAAACCCACGAGACCTGACTCTAGAGCCTGGGTTATTAACCATTTTCAAAAATGTCTTCAAGCTAGGACCTCACAATCTGCCATCCAGACTATTATGAAAACCGCTCATCTAGACTCCCTTAAAACCATCCCCCAAATATTTAAAATGCCAATCTGGGCCAGGCGCGGTGGCTCACACCTGTAATCCCAGCACTTTGGGAGGCTGAGGCGGGTGGATCACAAGGTCAGGAGTTCGAGACCAGCCTGGCCAGCATGGTGAAACCCTGTCTCTACTGAAAAAAAATAAAATAAAAAATTAGCCAGACATGGTGGGTGGCACTCCTGTAATCCCAGCTACTCAGGAGGCTGAGGCAGGAGAATTGCTTGAACCCAGGAGGCGGAGGTTGCAGTGAGCTGAGATTGTGCCACTGCACTCTAGCCTGTGAGATGGACAGTGAGACTCCATCTCAAAAAAAGAAAAATGCCAACTGACCATATTAGTCATTAGTATGTTGCTATGTTTTGTCTGTAATACCACTGGATGAAGTGTAAGCTTCTTGGTTAGCAAACTACATGCCCTCTGTGATCTGGCTCCCACTTCCCTCTCCAGCCTCTTCTCCACTACTGTTCACATCACTTGAAATTCCAGCAACACCAAAATGCTTGTAGCTTCATACAACGCCATGTTGCTTGTCTGCTCTGTGGCTTTGCTTATTTTCTTCCTTCTGCCTGGAAAGCCATTCTCCTCACCCTTTGCTCTTTTGTCTGGTTCATTCCTCCTCATCCTGAAGATTTAGCCCAGGCCTTACTTCCTCCAGAGAGTTCTTCCTGACTACTTCAGGCTGGTTTAGGATGTTCCTCCAGCCTCAGTGATTCTATCATATACTGTGCCCAGCTCTATCACTGTATGGCCACAGGGTTTCATAATGTCTGTTAGCAACTCATCCTTGCCAGGCTCCTTTCTTCCTAACCCCACCCTAATTCAGTTATTCAGTTTGGGTATCCCTCTCCCACCTGTGCTTTGGAGAAAGCTGATCTTATCACCAGCTCAAGGAGTGGATCTTGATTAGTCTAAGTCAATTCCCCTAAAAATTTTTATTGGCTTGGGATGGACATAATACTAAAGTTGGCCCAATCTTACTAAAGAAAGGACTTATGAATGGCTTTCTCTTACACTCTGCCTAATTTCCTCTGACAGTCTTCCTCCCCTCCCCTCCTTCCCTCCCTCCTTCTCTCCCTCCCTCCCTTCCTCCCTCCCTCTCTCTCTCTCTGAGACTGGGTCTCACTCTGTCACCCAGTCACCCAGGCTGGAGTACAGTGGTGCAATCATGGCTTACTGCAGCCTCCACCTCCTGGGTTCAGGTGATCCTCCTGCCTCAGCCTCCTGAGTAGCTAGCACCACATGCAGCATACCACCAAGCCTAATTTTTTTTATTATTTCTAAAAAAAGGGTCTTACTATGTTTCCCAGGCTGGTCTCAAATTCCTAGGCTCAAGTGATCCTCCTGCCTCAGCCTCCCAAAGTGCTGGAATTACAAGCATGAGCCACTGTGCCCATCCAGTCTTCCTTTCAAGACAGAAATAATCTAAGAATGAAACAGTGCTGTGAGTGGAAAAGTTAAGAGACAAAAGACCTGTGTACTCAATGACTGAATTTTTTTTTTTTTTTTTGAGACGGAGTTTCGCTCTTGTTTACCCAGGCTGGAGTGCAATGGCGCGATCTCAGCTCACCGCAACCTCTGCCTCCTGGGTTCAGGCAATTCTCCTGCCTCAGCCTCCTGAGTAGCTGGGATTACAGGCACGCGCCACTGTGCCCAGCTAATTTTTTGTATTTTTAGTAGAGACGGGGTTTCACCATGTTGACCAGGATGGTCTCGATCTCTTGACCTCGTGATCCACCCGCCTCGGCCTCCCAAAGTCCTGGGATTACAGGTGTGAACCACCGTGCCCGGCCAATGACTGAATTTTTTTATCACACAACCTGACAGTCTGTCTTATCTCTCAATTTTCTATTATGGGAGATAATCATGTCCTTATTGCTTGAGTTTTAGTCAAGTTTCTTACAGCCAAAAGCATCTTAAATTGCAAGTACTGAATTAATAGAAAATTCCCAGTACTACACAAACACAAAGAATCATTCTGACCAGATTATACTTTGCTGAAATGGTCCCTGAGAGAGAGAAAACTTCAGATATTTAATTAGAGAAAAGTGATAAAATAATGCCAAGGAAAGAGTACAGATTGAATAAAGGCACAGAAGTAGAAATGTACATGATGTTTTCAGATGAATGGAGGCATCTGGCTGAAGTAGATGATTTAATAAAGAAAAATGAAACTAGAAAGGGAGGTAAATTCACAAAAAGGAAAACCTTCAATAATTTTTCTTCAGTTGTTTTATAAAGGTAAATAATTTGGTTTCAACTTTATCTATGACTTTTTTTTTCTTAATTACCCATGTATACATGGACAATTTTTTACTTTTTTATCTTTTAAATATTTCATTTTTAAAAGAGGTATATAATTCCAATAAAAGGCATTATTTTGGCCAAAAAAGTTCATTATTCTTTCCATATACAATTGGCCAAGAATATGTTAATTAAAATTAACTGTCTAGGTCAGGCACAGTGGCTCACACCTGTAATCCCAGCACTCTGGACGACCGAGCCAGGTGGATCACCTGAGGTCAGGAGCTCGAGACCAGCCTGGCCACCATGGTGAAACCCCATCTCTAATAAAAATATAAAAATTTGCTGGGCATCGTGGCACATGTCTGTAATCCCAGCTATGTGGGAGGCTGAAGCAGGAAAATCACTTGAACCTGTAAGGCAGAGGTTGCAATGGCTGAGATCCTGCCCCTTCACTCTAGCCTGCGCGACAGAGCTAGACTCCATCTCTAAATAAATAAAAACAAAATTAACTGTCTAAAACTCAACCATTTTACTAGTTAAAAAATAACTTGCCATTCAAAAAGAACATATGAATTCTGTGAAATTCTAATACCTCAGAAATGTACAGATCAGCTTGTTTTAATAACTCTCCAATAATTAGAACATTTGAAGTAGTACCATCTCCTGTGACATCATCCTGAGCTGTTGCTACTTTTGCTATCAAGGAAGCTGTTGGATGTTGAATTTGCTGGAAAAAGCAAGCAACAGATTTAAAAAGAGAGGATGAGATAAGGAAGTAGGCCACCAAAAACAAGATAACCTAGGGGTCAGTAGTAAAATTAAAAAATGAAATAAGCTTCATTCTACAAGTTTACAATTTTGTATTATCAATACCTAAATGTCAAGTGCAAAATTTTTAAAGTGTGAGGTAATTAAGTCTGAACATTTCATAAATCTTTGCTTCAGAATGCAATGACATTTCTAAAATAAGGTTAAATCCTTCAATCTCAAAATGAATAAATGTATTAAACTTGCAAAGGATATTTTTATTTTTCTGTGATTACAGAAGGCAGTGCCTTTAAAAGATGTTATTAATTTATAAGTATACTCAAGCTATTACATGCACTATACAAAGACATGAAAACAACAACAAAAAAAGAAGAAACTTTTTTTTCTTTTTTTTTTTTTTTTTTGAGACAGCATCTTGCTCTGTCACCCAGGCTGGAGTGCAGTGTGGCACGATCTCTGTTCATTGCAGCCTTGGCCTCCTTGGCTCAAGTGATCCTCTCACCTCAGCCTCCCGAGTAGCTGGGACTGACTACAGGCACATGCCACCACACCGGGCTAATTGTTTTTCTTTTTTGTAGAGATGGGTTTCACCATGTTGCCCAGGCTGGTCTTGAATTCCTGGGCTCAAGCAATTCACCCATCTCAGCTTCCCAAGGTGTTGGGATTACAGGAGTGAGCCACCACACCTGGCCAAAAAATCATTTTTTATTGAGGTCTAATTCAACAAGCATATCTCAAGACTGCAGTATTTAGCTGACAGTCTTGGCTTTAAAGATATACAAATTCTACTATGCTCCTAATTAAGGCTTATTATAGTTTATTAAAGTCAGCAGCATCAACTCACCATCTCATGGAGCAGCACATTGCCAGCTTTGGTGAGTTTGATGTCACCTGCACTAGAAACAAGCCTGTTCAGAGAGCAATGATGTTAAATTCACTTGGTAGGAGTCAAGCAAGACACTCCCAGTGCTTGTCACTTCATTATCCTTAATAGAGGGAACTGGGCTTGGAAAACTTCTACTGTACCATGGGAATATGCCATAGTAATGACCACCATTTGCAGCTCACAGAATGATTTCTCCCCAAATGGACAGCTTATGGCGATTTCATTCAAAATGGAGCATTTACAGGTTTAAAGATAAAAGCAGTTGATGAGTTATGAACAGTGGTTTAGTCAAAGAATACTCAGATGTCTACAAAGCACAAATTTGCAAATTTTCTGCAGGCTTATTTTGGTGAATGTTTTCATTCTTTCAGTCACTCAACATAGTTTCCCTCATCCCTGCATTTATTAGATCACCAAGTTCTATCAATTCTACTACCTAAATATCTCTTGACTCTGCCCCCTTCTATCTCCATTGTCATCATCTCTACCCTGGATGACATCCAGATATCTCCAAACTTGAATATACCCTCCTATATCCTCCACACATTTTTCTTTCTAAAAGGCAATGTGATTCAGTCAGTTCCCTGATCAAAAGTCCTCCAATGATTTTTATGTTTTCCAACATTTTCAAGTTAAAATCCAAACATAGCAATGGCATACTTGACCTTTCCCAATCTGGTTTATGTCTGTCTTCCCTGCCTCATCTGCTTTCTTACGAGCAAATCTTCTAGTTCCCTTAATACACCGTGTTTTGTTTTGTTACTGTTGGATTTGCATCCTTGGTCTCTCTTATTCCTGAAATTACCCTCTGCCCAGAAGGCCTTTACTCCCTCTTCCAACTAGTGAACTCTTATTCTTCTTTCAAGACTCTGATAAAACATTGTTAGTTAAGAAGCTTTTCCTTCTGCCATCAGTAATTAGTCCCTTTCCTCAGCATAATCATATGCATCTGTATGTAATTAGCACATCCGACTCTACATCTCTACCACACCTTTTTTAGGACAGAAACTGTATCTTGATCATTTCTGCGTCCCAGTAGCTAGTACCTAAGTGACTTCTTCTACCATTAATATTAATTTATTTTGTTCATTACTATGACAGTGTGTCTCTCCACTTATACCCTTTTGCCCTCACTGGTTTCTTTTCCTCACTCTTGTCTAGAGAAAATGGTGCTTAATATATATTGAAAAGATAAATAGATATGAAGAACCATAGGCACGGGAACTTGGATTTGATCCCATGCCACCTTCCTGGCTCTAAACCCTGTGCCCTCTCCACTGCAATACATTACCATACAAAAAAACAAAAATAACTACCTGTTGAATGTATGGGCTAAGGGCATGCAGTTTTAAAGAGCAGAGGAGTTAAATGCTTTATATTTTCAATGAGACACTAAATTAACTGACTTTCTAACTGCATGTGAACCTTGAGGAAAAGTGGGGGGTCAGGGGGTGTCATAGCTTCACCCCTTGGACCTTCTATTAAGGGAGGCTTTATTCCTCCACCCGCACCAGATGAGAGATACCCTCAGGTCAGGGATGAGAATGAGGGAAACCAAGCTCGCAAGAACATCCACATCGCTCCGTGGACGCCTGCCTCAGAGGGCGCCAGGACACCCAACAAGCCCCCAGCCGCCTAACGGCCGCTCCAACCGCCGTCTCACATTTTCATGGTGCCTTTAGGACCCAAGTTGGTCCTCAGCACATGCTGCAGCCCTCGGGCGGCGCATATATTGACGGCCAAGGCAGCCTGTGCCCGCGCCACCTCAGCCTTGGAGTTTACGGCCTTTATCGCAGCCATAGCCTAATCGCTCAGGGCGAAAACAACACACGCACACGCACACGCACACACATGACTTAGTGGCGATTCTAAGCAAAAACCCGAACGCCACGCCACGCCACGCCACGCTCACTTGAGCCTCGGCCAATCACCGCCCTTAAAAAAAAAGTGACGTTATCATACCTCGCCGGACGGAAGCCGGACTCGCTTTGGGTCTGGTCGCCAAGATGGCGTTCTCCGCCTCCGCTGGGACTCCGGCTGGGAAGCGAGTGGTAAATCAGGAAGAACTGCGGCGGTTAATGAAGGAGAAGCAGCGTCTGAGCACTAATCGGAAACGGATAGAATCTCCGTTCGCTAAGTACAACCGTTTGGGACAGCTGAGTTGTGTCCTGTGTAACACGCCTGTTAAGAGTGAGCTTCTGTGGCAGACTCACGTCCTGGGAAAGCAGCACCGAGAGAAAGTGGCCGAGCTGAAAGGCGCGAAGGAAACCAGCCAGGGTCCGTCAGCCAGCTCAGCGCCTCAGTCCGTCAAGAGGAAAGCGCCAGACGCAGACAGCCAAGATGCCAAGAGAACGAAGGCCACCTTGGTGCCTCAGGTACAGCCCTCCACATCTGCGTTGCCCACCAACTTTGACAAAATAGGAAAGGAGTCCATTAGAGCGACTCCCAGTAAGCCTTCAGGACTCAGTTTACTCCCCGATTATGAAGATGAGGAGGAGGAGGAAGAGGAAGAAGGAGGTGGAGAAAGAAAAAGCGGGGACGCCAGCAAGTTGCTGTCCGACGCACAGGGCAAGGAACACTCAGTTTCCTCTTCGCGGGAGGTAACAAGTAGTGTGCTGCCGGACGATTTCTTTAATAATAATCCTCCCAAGGCCCCCATAATTCCTCATTCAGGGTCAATTGAGAAAGCAGAAATCCATGAAAAGGTGGTGGAAAGGAGAGAAAACACCGCGGAAGCGTTACCGGAAGGTTTTTTTGACGACCCTGAGGTAGATGCAAGAGTACGAAAGGTTGATGCCCCTAAAGATCAGATGGACAAAGAGTGGGACGAATTTCAAAAAGCCATGAGGCAGGTCAACACTATTTCCGAAGCCATAGTTGCCGAAGAGGATGAGGAGGGACGGCTGGACCGTCAGATTGGGGAGATCGATGAGCAGATAGAGTGTTACCGACGGGTGGAAAAGCTACGGAATCGCCAGGATGAAATAAAAAATAAACTTAAAGAAATCCTGACCATAAAAGAATTGCAGAAAAAGGAAGAAGAGAATGCTGACAGCGATGATGAGGGGGAACTACAGGACTTGTTGTCTCAGGATTGGAGGGTGAAAGGGGCATTGTTATAAAGTTTTAAAGACCTAAGGTTTCTAACAGCCTCTGCTATTGTATAAAAAGTGCTGTCTCAATAGCTTATCGGTTACACGCCTAGAGATTTGGGCACCTGGATCGCTAACTGTATTGTTGAGATAAAATGAGCTACAGCACTTTGGTAAATTTGTATACAATGTTTTTGAAGTAAAGTTTTTGAAATTTCTTAAGTGTTATATACCAAAATGCCAACTTTTCCACAATAGGCCTAACAGTATCATTTTGTTGTAAAATCTGTAAATTGTAAATATTGTACGTAGTTAAATCTATATTAAGTAATTCCGTTTTGAATTTTTTTAATTAATAGAAGTCAGATTAACCGGCAGACTTTTAGATGAATGCTTAATGTGGTATTTGAGATGTATCTTCTTCTGAACCCTAAATCAAGTTGAAAAGTTTGGTTTTCTTGTTTCTTTGGTTTTTGTTTGTTTTTTTTAGAACACTTCATAAATACATAAGTCATTGTAGGTTAATCAATTCTCTTAGTATGCTGGGTTTTTTTTTTAAACATCGAGAAAAATATATGCCAAACATGATCAGCCTCCCTAAACCAAAGTTTCTCTTGACTAGACCCGTGATGGTCAGATGTGGTTGCACGGAGAATCACCTATGAGGCATTAAAATAAATTCAAGAGCTTGAGGCCTTCCCCTTCAAAAAATCAGAGATGGGGCCCAGGCAACTGTTTTTTAAAGCTCCCAGGTTATTCTAATATATGCCAAAGTTGGAGGGTGCCCTAAATCCAGAACCCATTTATATTTTTCAGGTTTTTATTTAACACATTCCATAAATTTGCTGTTTCTTGAATGAAGGAAATATTATCTTTTATTTATTTCATCCAGTCTTAAATTTCATTATCTTTAGTAGATTAGGGTCTTTATTTGCAGGTCCTATCTGTTGTAGAAAGAATATGTAAGTTGTGTTTCCAGCAGTAACAATTGGCTCTTGCTGGTCATTGATAGTTTAAAGGACTCCTTCCTTTAGAGATTGAGGTATTGAAATAAGAAAAGGGAATTTACGGTTCCTGGAGTAAAAATGCATACAGCATATCCAAATAAAAGTGAGCAGTAATAATAGCTAAGACCTATATAGTTCTTAGTGTGGGCCAGGCATGGCTCTAAGTGCTATACATAAATTAATCTAGTTTGCCTAAATTCCTTTTTTATGGAAAGGAGTACCAAGAGATAAGGTTTGAAAAGCCTTGAATGCTGAGTGAAAGCTTTTTGTGAAGTTCATATGAAAATAAACTGGAGGTTTTGAGTGAAGAATTACATCTGCAAAGAAATATGGAACATTAACAGTATATAGAATGGAATGAACATAGGGTAGAAGGAAGCTAGGAGCTACTTGAAAACTGCTGACAAGACTGATTAGCTGTAGATTGGGAGAAAAGGAATAGAAGTGAAAGAATTTCAAAGGAATAGCTAAATTTTGTGACACGAAGTGGAAGAAGAAAAACAGGAGGGATATGTATGGGATTCAAGATTTTGTTTGTATTTAGTGTCAGTACCTAAAAGAAGTTATCTAACACTTACTAAACAGTTGCTGTGTGCCACAAATTAATAATTGTCCTACTGCCTTTGGCAGTCTTCCTCCTTGAACTGCCAGCTGATAAGTGATAGCAACTTCAATTTGATGAGATAGCCTGCTTGCCTCACATGTGTGAACCCACTCTTACTCCGAATTTTCCTTCCCTTCATTCATCACTATTACTCCAGCAAGAAAGTGCCAATATGGGTTTGACTGGTGGGCCAGTACTGCCTTGGCTAGCAATCTAGTGGAGTACTGTCCACTGAAGATACAATGTGACTGGGTGTGGTGGCTCATGCCTATAGTCCTAGCACTTTGGGAGAACAAGGCAGATGGATCACGAGCTCAGGAGTTCAAGACCAGCCTGGACAACATGGTGAAACCCTATCTCTATAAAAAATACAAAAAATTAGCCAGGCATGGTGGCATGCACTTGTAGTCCTAGCTACTTGGGAGACTGAGGTGGGAGGATTACCTGTGCCAAGGGAGGTGGAGGCTACAATGAGCTGTGATTGTGCCACTGCACTCCAGCATGGGTGACAGACTAAGAACGTGTCTCAAAAAGTAAAAAATATATATATATATAATGCAAGACATAGGTAAATTTTACATTTTCTAGTAGTCAAAGTAAAAAGAAGTGAAAGTTTTAATGTACTTTATTTCATCTATGTCCAGAATATTAATGTTTTAATATGTAATCAATATTAAAAGATTATTATATTTTTTTTAACTACATTTTTGAAATCTAGGTGTATCTAACAGCACATCTCAGTTTAGACTGGCCACACTTAAGTACTCAATAGCCATATGTGACTAGTGGCTACTATAAAGAACAGCAGAGAGCTAAAGAGTAAGGTATCGAGGTGATACTTTACTTAAATTAGATGCTCAGGAGGTAGTGAGCATCTAATTTAACTAGAGCAGAGGGTTTACTCCTGGCAACAGTGGGAATGATGATTGAAAAGGTAGATTAGGAACATGTGGAGCACCTTGACTGCTAAACTCTAAGGAATTTCAACTTTCTCGAAGTTAACAATGTATCCTTGAAGTTTGAATCCTTAATTGTAACACAGTCAAAGAAGAACTTAAGTGCCAGGTGTGTGTTACTACTCATGTGAACCCCTGCTGGGCTTTTAGGAAGGCCAAAAAGCCCTCAAAATCTGATCTCAATGCTCTGTATCCAGAGCAGTTGAAATGGGGCCCTGACCATAATCAGTGCTCAATGAATCCTTGTTGAATTTGAGGTCAGTATAAACAGCTACAGCACCAAGTGCATCTTTCCTGATCCACCTATACATTGGAAAGCTCCATTACTATACCAACTCTGAGCTAAGTCAAATAGGTTTTGGCATTTGACTGAATCAGGGTTCCTAAATTGTAAGAATTGATCCCAAGGACTCCTTCCAGTCACATCTCTTTAGAAAGTCCCCTAATTCAGCAGTCATCACAATATAGAAGTGTAAATGCTATCGAGGTATCCTCTCACTTATCAACTTCACTTACCAATTTAAATCAATACCCCTAACTTGGAAGAAGGAAAAAAAAATGCTGATGCAACTAGCCTTCAAGTGTATATTTTTCCAGTGCCTTAAAATTTGCTATTTAATGATGGAAGTAATGATTGCTTTTCACACACCAGGGGACAAAATAGGCCACTGAATTTAAATTGCAGGAGAAAATGTAATTTAGGCCTAAAATCTTTAATAGTAAAAATCACTAGATTAGTGTGTACTAATGGAAAGAACCATGGAATTGGAACAGAAGACCTGCATTCAAGTTTCCACTCCACCTTTTTTTTCTTTTCAGACGGAGTCTCAAACTGTCACCCGGGCTGGAGTGCAGTGGTGCTGCAACCTCCACCTCCCGGATTCATATGATTCTCCTACCTCTGCCTTCCAAGTAGCTTGGATTACAAGCACACACCACCACGCCCTTGTGTTGGCCAGACTGGTCTTGAACTCCTGACCTCATGATCTGCCTGCCTTGGCCTCCCAAAGTGCAGGGATTACAGGCCTGAGCCACAGTGCCCAGCTTGCTCTACCTTTTAATGGTTCATGAGCTTGACCAAGTCACCTCTCTGAACTTTAGTTTGCTCCAGGGGTATGGTAAGAGTCCACGGAGACATGGGCTCTTTCTGATTAACACAGAATAGAAGGTCTTAATGGAAATGGCATGTTTCCTGTCAAAGAAGCACCAACTGGCTAGCTATTTGGCTAGATGTAGTGCCGAGGGTTTGAGTAAATATGGGAATGGTGACTAGACAGATAGATAACCTTAGATTGCTTTTTCTTTCTTTTTTTTTTTTTGAGACGAAGTTTCACTTGTTACCCAGGCTGGAGCGCAATGGCGCGATCTCGGCTCACCGCAACACCCACCTCCTGGGTTCAGGCAATTCTCCTGCCTCAGCCTCCTGAGTAGCTGAGATTACGGGCATGCATCACCATGCCCAGCTAATTTTTTGTATTTTTAGTAGAGACGGGGTTTCACCATGTTGACCAGGATGGTCTCGATCTCTTGACCTCGTGATCCACCTGCCTCGGCCTCCCAAAGTGCTGGGATTACAGGCCTGAGTCACTGCGCCCGGCCTAGATTGCTTTTTAATACTAATAGTCTATTAGCCTGTATGATACCAGGGGTATAGAAGATTTAAATTTGAACAAGGCTGGGTAGCTCACACCTGTAATCCCCACACTTTTAGAGACTGAGGTGGGTGGATCACCTGAGGTCCAGGAGTTTGAGACCAGCCTGTCCAACAGATAGTGAAAACCCATCTCTACTTAAAAAATTAGCTGGGCGTGGTGGCACACACCTGTAGTCCCAGCTACTTGGGAAGCTGAGGTGGGACAATTGCTTGAACCTGGGAGGTGGAGGTTGCAGTGAGCTGAGATCATACCAGTGCACTCAAGCCTGGGCAACAGAGTAAGGCTTCATCTCTTTAAATAAAAAAAAAAAGTTTGAACAGAGAAAAAGAATCCCAGAACTCCCGCATTCAATTTTATATCTACATTTCCTGCCTTAATGATCACATCCATTCCTATAGCTTTAAATATCAACTATGTACTGAAGATTCCCAATTTATATCTCCAACCTTGGCCTTCCTCCTAAGTTTCTGGCTCAGGTAAGTACCTACCTAACATTCCACTTTGAGGTTTAATAGGTGTCCAGAATATAAAAACTCTCAAACAGAGCTTTGATTTTCTTCCCAAACCTGTACTCCTCAGGCTCGTCTCAGTAAATGGCACCACTACCCACCCAGGTGCTCAAGGCAAACCCTGGGAGTCACCCTTCATTCTCTTTCCTTTCCCTCAAATCTAATGCACTAGTTAAGTTCTGTCCATTCTGCCTCTAGAATATGCCTAAAATCTGTCTTACTCCGATGCTCAGGCTGGAGTGCAGTGGTGTGATCATAGCTCACTGCAGCCTTGAACTCCCAGGCTCAAGTGATCCTCCTGCCTTACCTTCCTGAGTAGCTAGGACTACAGGTGTGAGTCACCAGGCTCAGTTAATTTTTTTTTTGGTAAGGACAGTGTCTCCGTTACCCAGGCTGGTCTTAAACTTCTATACTCCAGTGATCCTCCTGTGTCAGACTTCCAAAGTGCTGGGATTACAGGTGTGAGCCACTGTGCCCAGCTTCCCTCTACACTATTGACATCTGGCACAGGATAATTCTCTGGGCTGGGGGCCTGTCCTGTGCATTAGAGGATGTTTGGCAGCATCCCTGACCTCTACCCCCTAAATGCCAGTGGCACCGTCACAACCTCATCACCTCATAATGTTAGCCTAGAGTAGCCTCCAGTTGAGATCTACTGGTCTGTTTACAACTAACTATAATATATGATAAAATATGTTTGTGCAAAGTGTTAGAGTGGGTGGTGTGTTAGAGGGAGCAACTGATTGCTGAGAGGAGGGTTCAGAAAGGCCTCTGGGGAGGCAAAATTTACACTTGGCCTTGAAGGATGAGAAAGACTGTGCCAAGCAGTGAAGGAGGGAATGAGTCTTGTGGACTAAGGTAACAGTGGCACAGACACATGGAAAGTATGCAGTGCTGGGGAAAGCATCACCTCAAGTACATGGAAGAATGTGGAGAAAATAGGACAGGAAGCCCAATGGGGCTAATTTACGAAGAACATTGCATGTGATCCTAAGCAATTTAGACTCCAACCCCAAAGCAGGTATCTAGCGTGGGAAGGAAGCAAAAAAAGTACATTTGTTTCTTGGAAAGACTTATCATCCTCAACTGGGAAAAGACAGAGACGGTGGACAACAATGAATAATTCCTTCTTTTAATCTGGATTTTCTTTGCAGTTTGGCTCTTTAGCCCAAAGCTTCTATACTCCTCCAAATGAGAGGAAAGAAAAACTAGAGAAGTTCTCCTATTTTAGAACACAAGAGTCACTTAAGAAAAAGACTCAATTTTACTCCTCCAAGTAGTCCTTGAAGCTACTTGAAAACCTCTCATAGCAGAAGCTGATATATTCCTTTGGTTGATGTATTTTTATTTTAATTTTCAAAAAGTTTAATTAGAAAATATAAGCACATGAGGAAGTACAGAAAATAATATAACAAACATCCTGTACCCATTAGCCAAAAATTACTTTAAGAAATAGAAAGTATCAAAGAGTGAACTACATAATTAATTTTTAAAAAAAGAAATAGAAAGGACAGAACACAGCTAAAACTCAAGTTAAAGACAGTTTAGGTTCTAAATAGATACTTGGACAGGAGGACACCTGGCTAACATTTGCAGCATCAGACATCAGTGATGTTCTGGAAAAAGGGCTTTCTCATCTAGTCTGTCCGAATGGGCCCATTTCAAAGACAGTGGTTCCCTAACCCAGCTATATCCAATGCCCTATCCTGGCCTACTCAAGGAGATTCTAGGTCAGTGGGTCTAGGTTGGGGCATTGGAAACAGCATTTTAAACAAGTTCTTCAGGTAGTTCTGCAGTGGCAAAAACCAGTGCTTGAAGCAATAATGTAATCTGTCACCTATTCATCTGTTGATAACAGATCTTGCCTCATAGGTTTACTCTGAAGTTTAATACGTACACACACATTGCTTAGCACTGGCATATAAGAAGCACACAAAAATACTTCTTAACAATAATCAATGTTCACTGAGTACATCTTTAGTATATTCTATGGTACAAGGGTCTTCAAGGAATTCAAAGATATATATCAACCTCTCTCTGAAGGCAGAGTCTGAGTTTATCCTATTCACTTAATCAATGCCCGGCACAAAGCAGACACTCAAATAATACTTATTGAATAAATGAGTGGAAAAAGTGGCCCTGACCGTCAAGGAAATTACAATCTGGTTGTATTATAAATAGTATATAAGAAATTGGGCACGGGCCAGGTGCGGTGGCTCACATAATGTCAGCACTTTGGGAGGCTGAGGTGGGAGAGTCGCTTGAAGTCAGGAGTTCAAGGCCAGCCTGGGCAACATGGCAAGATGCCTTCTCTACATAAAAATTAGCTGGATGCGGTGGTGCACTCCCAGCACTTTAAGAGGCCAAGGCAGATGGATTGCCTGAGCTCCGGAGTTCCAGACCAGCCTGTGCAATATGGCGAACCTCTGTCTCTGCCAAAAATACAAAAAATTAGCCAGTTGTGGTGGCATGTACCTGTAGTCCCAGGTACTTGGGAGGCTGAGATGGGAGCATCGCTTGAGCCTGGGAAGTGGAGGTTGCAGTGAGTCAAGATCACACCACTGAACTCCAGCAAGATGGCATCTAAAAACAAAAAAGAATAAAAAAAAGAAAGAAATTGGGCAGGACCAAAATATTAAACTACTGGTTATACAAAGTGTAAAGAGGGCTAATCAAAAGTCTAGGGTCTGAGTCCCATTTTGCCACCCATTAGCTGTGATATCTACCTGGTCAGTTTATTCCCTGAGCCTTAGTTTTATCCCCTTGGGGAATTAGGCTATGTCTGGGTACTAAGGACCCTCCCAAGAGGATCTATCACCAAGACCAAGCCAGGAGCTGCAGGCAGGGGCAGTGGCAGCATGAGTGGTCGGGAATGCTTCAAGAGGGCTTAGGTGGCACCTTCTAGAGAAGGAAATAAAAGGTGTAGAGGCACTCCCGACATAAAAGAAAGGCAGGAGGAACAACAGACGTAAAGTGTTCAGCCCAGTCTTCAACCTCTGCCACTGAACCAAAGCTAAAAAACCAACTACCATCAAAACTACCTATCAACCAGCCCCAGATCCCTGTAAAGGAGAACTAAAGTCTACCTCCCAAATAGGCTCGTTTCTTCATAAAATATATTTTCCTTTGAAAATTATTAACTTGTCTCCTGAAAGACATAACCATCAGGACTTCATGCTAGAAAACCCAACCCAGGAGTTGCTACCACGGAAGATGGTAGCAACTTTGAGTTTTTCTCATACCACATCTGTGACTTGAACCCGCTTTTTTTTTTTGAAATGGAGTTTTGCTCTTGTTCCCCAGGCTGGAGTGCAATGGTGCGATTTTGGCTCACTACAGCCTCCACCTCCTGGGTTCAAGCAATTCTCCTGACTCAGCCTCTGGAGTAGCTGTGATTACAGGCACCCACCACCATGCCCAGTTAATTTTTTGTATGTTTAGTAAAGACAGTGTTTCACCATGTTGGTCAGGCTGGTCTCAAACTCCTGACCTCAGGTGATCCACCTGCCTCGGCCTCCCGAAGTGCTAGGCATGAGCCACCATGCCCAGCCACCTCAACCCTCTTCTTAATACCGCCCCAGAAACTCTCTCTCTGTCATAGATCAGCTACTCCCAAAGGCAAGTATGACTCCTCCCAGCTCTGCCCTTCCTCAATCTGACAGCTGTAGCACAATGTATTTAAAGGAGAGGCCAAGAAACCCCCCGGTTAAGAACCAACCTCCACAGCCTTTATTGAGAATGAAGAATGATAAGCTGATTTGAGTTATTATATCTTCCTACAGCTGTTCCCTTTTAAATATTTATCCTGGCAAATGCACCACCGTTTTTTACAACTTATTTTAATTGTGTGACTATTAAGCAAACCAACCCATAAAATCAGCTCTTGCTGCTGGGATTTATGTGATTCATAGACCACAGCTGATTAAAAAAGGGAATCCACTGAAAATGAATTAGCCTCACGAGTGCCCCTCACTGTCTCTAGGAAGGTGTCAAGCCTTTTCCCAATTCCTGCTTGTGGCTCCCAAGCTACCACAGTTAGTAACATAGAACATGAACACAATCTACCCATTTCCCTGTGGCTTTTTTCTTAACAATCCTGATGAGTCTAAACTGGAAGTCAGGGATAGAACAGTCTTAAAGGAGGTAGAAGAAACTCTGAGAGCCTCACAAACAGGATAAATGCCCTAGAGGATTTACATCAAAGTCTGTAGAAAGAATTTAATTGAAGACTTTGAATAGCTGGGAAGAAGCATGAGGTATCCTGATTATTCACCACCAACTTAGTTCTTGTTTGGATCATAAAACTGCTTTGAGACTTCATAAAAGCTCTTCCCCCAAAATGTGCATGCACACAAATGTTCATATAAAATTTCAGGAGATTCAAAGACACCCCTGAGTCCATCCACAGTTCCTCTAGGGATCTATAAGCCTCAATTATTTCTTACTATCACTGTTACCACCCAAGCTGCCCTCATCTCTCCCCTAGATTATTACAGTGGCTACCTGACTCATCTCCCAACTTCTCTACACAGCAACCTGGCAGACAGTGATTCTGTTAAAGCCTAAGTTAGATCACCTGACTTCTCTGCTCCATACAATCCACTAGCTTCCCTTCTCACCTGGAATAAAAGCCAATGTCTTTGCAGTGTCTTACAAGACCCTACAGGATCTGTCTCCTTGCTGACCTCATCTTCTGCTCTTCTCACTTTTAACTCCAGCTGCTCTAGCCACATGGATCTCCTTGCTATCATACCAAATGACAATCACATTTTTGGCCTCTGAACCTTTATCTGATGTTCCCTCCAACCTCAATCTGCATGGGGCTAACTCATTTCTTCAAATCACTTCTCAGTTGTTACTAATAAGGCCTTCCTGACCTCTATTTAAAACTGCTGCTCTGCCCCTGCCCCACATCTCCCACCCTCCTCCTCTGCTTCCTTCTTCTCCATGGCACCCTCTCACTTATTATGTCTTATGCATTTTACTTATCTCTTTGTTATTTATCTCCCATTAGCTCCATGAGGGTGGGATTTTTGTCTGCTTTGTTTCGCTACTGTATTACACTCCTGGAATTGTGCCTGACACAGAGTAGGCACTCAATAAATACGTGACTGACCAATCCATGACTGAGTGATTAAACTCTAATATGAATGTATCCAGGCTGGGTAGTGCAGAAGAATGTACATTTATTGAAATATCTCTAAGTGCCAAGCAGTTTGCAAGCTGACATCAGTCATTTCATTTAATTAGCACATACAATCCCAAGACTTATTTTGTCCTCATTTCACCACCACCCCAAAAATGAAATACTTAAGCATAAATCTAATACAATATGTACAAGATGTATATGAGAAAAACTACAAAACTCTGATAAAAGAAATCAAAAGACAAATCTTCCATGTTCATGGAGACGAATACTCAATATTGTCAAAATGTCAGTTCTTTCCAATGTGATCTATATATTCAATGTAATCCCAATCAAAATTCCAGCAAGTTCATTTGTGGATATTGGCTTTAGAAACTGATTCTAACGCTTATGTGAAAAATCAAAAGATCCAGAATAGCCAACACAATATTGGAGGAGGAGAACAATGTTGGAGGACTGACATTATCTAAGTCAAGACTTGCTATAAAGCTACAGGAATCAAGACAGTGTGGGACTGGTCAAAGAACATATAAATAGACCAGTGGACCAGCATACAGAGCCCACAAATAGACCCACATAAATACAGTCAATGATCTTTGATAAAGGAGCAAAAGCGATACAAAGGAGAAAACAGTCTTTTCAAGAAATGGTGTTAGATCAACCGGGGATCCACATGGCAAAAATGGAATCTAGACAGATCTTACACCCTTCACAGAAATAAACTCAAAATAGATCAGAGACCTAAATGTAAAACGCAAAACTCTCCCCATTTCACCATGAAAACTGAGATCCAGAAAAGTTAACAAAATAGACGAGTTAGAGACAGCTGATAGTGGAACATAATTCAAGCCTGTCTGTATGAATCCAAAGCCGAGATCTCCCCACCACATTTTGCCTCATTCTCCTTGGTAGACCAGTTCCAACTTTTCTAAAGAAATGCAACTGCCAGCTTTCCTACCTAGTTCCATATCTTTTGTAGCTCCATTTCACAGCAGGGGACCTGAATCAGAGATTAGGGGGTCCAGGGGGCTCTCATCAAGCAAAACCAACATTTAGAGCCTGAGTCTTTTCAAGTTTATATCAAATATTGTTACAATATAATAAACAACTTCCTAAGGGATCTTAGCACTTCCAGAGTTTCATTCATTCATTGCATTCACTCATGAGTTTCATTCATTATTACTTTATAAGATTTTAAATTTTTTTTTCTTAATTGAGATAGTCTCACTCTGTTGCCCAGGCTGGAGTGCAGTGGCGCAATCTCAGCTCACTGCAACCTCCGCCTCCCAGGTTCAAGAGATTCTCCTGCCTCAGCCTCCCGAGTAGCTGGAATTACAGGTGCATGCCATCACGCACAGCTAATTTTTGTATTTTTAGTAGAGATGGGGTTTCACCATGTTGGCCAGGCTGGTTTCAAACTCCTGACCTCAGGTGATCCACCTGCATCAGCCTCCCAAAGTGCTGGGATTACAGGAGTGACCCACCACGCCAGGCCCTGTTTGTGTTTTAAGCTAAGTGTTATTACATAAGAATAAACTTTTACAAAATTAAAAAGCTTGGCTGGGCATGGTGGCTCACACCTGTAATCCCAACACTTTGGGAGGCCAACACAGGTGGATAACCTGAGGTCAAAAGTTCAAGACCAGCCTGGTCAACATAGTGAAACCCTGTCTCTACTAAAAATATTTTAAAATTAGCTGGGTGTGGTGACAGGTGCCTATCATCCCAGCTACTTGGGAGGCTGAGTGAGAGAATCGCTTTAACCTGGAAGGCAGAGGATGCAGTGAGCCAAGATCATGCCATTGCACTCTAGCCTGGGTGACAAGAGCAAAACTCTGTCTCAAACACACACACACACACGCACACACACACTGTTGTATAACAATTTTTTGAATCAATTTTTTCTTTCTTATAAATATGTTGCCCAGGCTGGTTTTGAACTCCTCCTGCCTACCTCAGCCTCCCAAAGTGCTATGATTACAGATGTGAACCACTGTGCCCAGCCAATATTTTTCCCTTTATATCCTTATTCTATAAGTTTTTCCTATTTAAAAAAAATTTTTAATTTTTTTTTGCTTTTAAAACTTTTTTGTTAACAAGACACAAACACACACATTAGCCTAGTAAGCCTTCACAGGGTCAAGGTCATCGGTATCACCATCCTCCACCTCTATCTATATCTTGACCCACTGCAAGGGCTTCAGGGGCACTAACATGCATGGAGCTGTCAGCTCCTTTGATAACAATGCCCTCTTCTGGAATACCTCCTAAAGGACCTACCTGAGGCTATTTTACAGTTACCTTTTTTTAAAAAAATAAGTAGGAGCAGTTGACTTTTTTTTTAATAAGTGGGAGTATACTCTAAAATAACAATAAGGCTGGGCACAGTGGCTCATGCCTGTCATCCCAGCACTTTGGGAGGCTGAGGTAGGGGGGATTAACTTGAGGTCAGGAGTTCGAGACCAGCCTGGGCAACAACATGGTGAAACACCATCTCTACTAAAAATACAAAAATTAGCTGGGCATGGTGGCAGGCACCTGTAATTCCAACAACTCAGGAGGCTGAGAGGGGAGAATTGCTTGAACTTAAGAGGCAGAGATTACAGTGAGCCGAGATTCTGCCATTGCACTCCAGCCTGGGTGACAAGAGTAAAACTGTCTCAAAAAAAAAAAAAATTAGCCAGTCCTGGTGGTGGGCGCCTATAATCCCAGTTACTTGGGAGGCTGAGGCAGGAGGATCGCTTGATCCCAGGAGGTGGAGGTGCAGTGAGCTGAAATCATGCCATTGATTGCTCTTCAGCCTGGGCGACAAAGACCCTTGTCTCAAAAAATTAATTAATTAATTAAATGACAATAAAAAGTATAGTATAGTAAATATATAAACCAGTAACATAGTCCTTTATTATCAAGTATTATGTACTGTACATAATTGTGTGAGCTATGCTTTTATAGAACTGGCAATGCAGTAGGTTTGTTTCCACCGGTATCACCACAAACACATGAGTAATGTGCTGTAACTACATGAAAGAGATTTTTCAACTCCATGATAAACTTTAGGGGATCACTCTCAATATTTGGTCCATTGTTGGCCTACATGTCCTTATGTGGTGCATATTATTATTTTAATTATTATCCTTTAATTTTTGAGATACATGTGCAGAATGTGCAGGTGGTACATATTATTAATTAGATACTTTTTTTGGTACGAATTTTTTTGGTGTGTATTTTTTTCACTTATAGTACATTTCAAATCCATGCAACATTCAAATGCTCAATGGCCACGAGTGGCTAGTGATTACAGCACTGGAAAAAGACAGATACAGTCAGGAGACTTAAGAAAAAATGTAGCAAATGCAGTTGTAGAGATGTGCTCAAGATCACTCAATTATCATAGCTAGGACGGGAGTCTCCTGTGACCTTCTAATTCCAAAGCCCTTGTTCATTCTGCTGCACATTAGAGAAAAGACAAGCTTTACTCCCCTCCAAACAGTAGAATCGCAGTTAGTCAACCAAACTAAATGTATCCAAAACAAAACTCATTCTTCTACCCCAATACCTCCTCTTCCTCTCTCATTTTCTATTTCAGTTGATGGCACCATTATCTTTCTGCTCACTCAAATTATTCTTATTTTATCCATAAATGAGCACTTTATCTAGAAGATCATTTAAATTCTAAATTATCTTCATAAACGTACTTATTTCCACCCTAACTAACTGAATTTATCTCTCGCATGGGTCACATTCCGATTTGTTCCCTTGCCTTAATCTCTCCCCACCCAGCTTCAACAGTATTCCCTAAGACTCTTCATGGCTCTCCATCCTCTACAGAGTAAAGACCAAACTTCATCTCACAGCACAGAATTCTCTCGGGAAGAGGTCACTTACCCTGAGGCTGCTACTCTTGTAAAAATCGCCATCCCCAACTCTCATGGAGCTGGCTTGAGATCTGAGATAATACACTATGAACGATATACAATCAAGGAGTTACTCCTCCATCACTCGTTTACATTTTATATCTACCTGCTATTTAGCGCCTTATTTCAATTCCATGAAAGTTACTGAATACTAACTAGGCTGTCTGCGAGACACAGAGAAAATACAGAAAAAAAAAAAAAAAAAGATTGACGCGATCTTTGCCTTCCCCGACCTCATTACAATATAGTTTATCCACCAAAAATCTTTAAAAACTAGCTCCTCTCTAACAGTATGAGGAAATCAAGGGGACCCTCGGAAGTTCAGGCCAGGCTGCGTCCCGAGGAGCCACCATGTCCCCCCAACCTCCGCTTCCCGGGCCGCGATTGCAGGTGGAAAACTACTCCCAAACAGCACCCAGCAGAATGCGACTACGACTCTAGAGGCAGGCGGGGGCGGGGACAGGTCGCGTGGCTACGGCCTTGGCTCTTGCGCCTGCGCGATGCCTCAAGCTCAAGGACCCGTATTTAAAGAGACAGGCGCTCCAACCGTCGTGGGCTGCCGGCGGCCTGTGGGGAGCTAGTACCGAGTCCTGAAGTGAGCGCCGGAGCTGGAGAGGCAGGTGAGGGGCGGCGCGGCCCGGCGTGGGGAAGGCAGTGGGCCGGGGCGGGGAGCTCGGCGCGGCCGGGGAGCCAGTCCCCCCGGCTCCTCCCCCGCCCGCCTGCGGAGCCCCGGGGCACACCCTCCGTGACGTGGCTGCCCCCCGGGAGCCTAAGGAGAGGCTCGCGGCTCCCCGGGACCCCCATGGGGCCGCACAAGGCTGGGAGGCCGACGCCCAGGCTTTGCGCCCGGCGGGACCCACGGGGCCTTTTCGGACCCCGGCCCGGCGTGCGTCCTCCCGCGCTGAAGCGGGCGCGCTCGGGTGGGAGTCTGGGAGCGCTGATCACTTCCCGCCCGCGTCCCGGGCCCGGTGGAGGAGCGCTCCTTTCTGCCTTCCCCGGGGGCTGCGGCCTAAGCCCCCGCCCCGCAGTCCCCGCCACTCCCCGACAGCGACGCGGGGAGGCCTTGGAGAAAAGCGGCGGCGGTCAGGCCTCAGCAGTTTCCTTCTCGGGCCCCTGGGCTGCGGCGGTTGTGAGGGTTCCTGTGGGAGGGACAGACAGTTTCCTCAAAGCTGCATTGTGCCTCCTCGTGGCCCAGCGCATCCCGAGCTTCCTCAGATACGCTGGTTTCATTATTGGGGCCCTAGAGGTTGCTCTATAAATCGATCTTCTAGGAAAAGTGTTGAAACTCACTTGTTCTGACCTCCTACTTCCACTTACTTCACCTCTGTGGTTCTTAAACTTTGGGCGTTATGTAGCCCTTTGTGAATGTCACGAAAGTGATGGACCTCCTCCAAAAAACCGTGCATTTTCGAATGTACATTTTGTATACATTTTTAGGGAGTTCAGAACCAACCCCCACCATACCCAGCGCATTTATGGATTCATTGTAATTTTCCCAACTATCCGTGAGGTAGGTATTATTTACCTTGTCTTAGAAATAAGAAAGCAGCCAGGCGCGGTGGCTCAAGCCTGTAATCCCGGCACTTTGGGAGGCCGAGGCGGGTGGATCACAAGGTCAAGAGATTGAGACCATCCTGGTCAACATGGTGAAACCCCGTCTCTACTAAAAATACAAAAAATTAGCTGGGCATGGTGGCGCGTGCCTGTAATCCCAGCTACTCAGGAGGCTGAGGTAGGAGAATTGCCTGAACCCAGGAGGTGGAGGTTGCGGTGAGCTGAGATCGCGCCATTGCACTCCAGCCTGGGTAACAAGAGCGAAACTCCGTCTCAAAAAAAAAAAAAAAGAAAGAAAGAAGAAAACAGATCCAGATAAACTAAGAGTTTTCTCCCAGGTAACAGTCCGTAATGTACGGTCAGACTTGCACTCCCATCCCTTATTTGGGGTCCACCTGCTTTCCTCTGCACCAAGTTTCAGTACAGCAAGCAAAGCCTGCTTTTTATTATAATATAGCAATTTTGCTTCACAACATGTGCAGACTGAACATAACTCCAGTATACTTAAAACTAGGACTATAAAATGGTTTAGAAAACATGAATCTAAGAAGATGCTGATATAAACTTTTTCCATTTGGATTGATTTACGAGTTCCTATGAGTCCTGCTGTCCAGTTACTTCAGCATTCCCTCATTCAAGTTGCTGAATTATAAACAGGTTAATTGCACATTAGGAGCCTCTTCTTAAAAGATAAAGACTTCACTGATCATAATAGGAGCTAACATTAATCAGTGAGAGCTCTTGCTCTGTGCCCAAATCTGTTTTAAGGGCTTTACTCTTAGAACAGCTCTTTGAGTTAGGTACCATAATTAGCCACATTTGACAGATGAGGAAACTCAGAAACTTAACCCATCAAGGTTATACAGCCAGTAAGTGACTGAGCTAGGATCTGAACTCAGGCAGTCTGATTCCAGGCTTAGTTGTCTCTCAATATAGGGATTGTAATTAAATCACAAATCTATATAGTGGCTTGATTTCTGAGGATGGCATATTATGTTAAACTTCACAATAAAAGCTTCATGTATAATGTAATTTTTACTGGGGATTAAAAAGAAACTTCAGGATCTTGTAATACTTAAAGGTCATCATCCATTATGAGTATCATATGTTGCTGATGGCCTAAAAGGAGCTTTTATGTTATTTGGATTTTCTTCATTGTGATGTACTAGATGTACATGTGTGCATTAGATAATTGAACACCCTTTTGCAAGCTCGCTTTTCCTGTGTCAGAACTCTCTTTCATCCTGTAGAGTAGACAATGAATGTAATACTTGGGAAGTGTTTGATTAGTCAGCATGGACTATATAAGACACTGGCCTTTGGGAAATTCAAAGCCTATCTCCTTGTTTATCTCTCTCTTTTTTTTTTTTTTTTTTTTTTTTGGCTTTCTACCTTTTCATGCAGCTGTATGTCTTTGGCTTTCAAGATCCTCTTTCCACAAACCATCCGTGCACTCAGCCAAAAAGAACCGTGCCTATTCCGAGGACATCACTGGCCTGATGTAAGACAATTCAGCCAGTGGTCAGAAACAGATCTGCTTCATGGCCAGCGCCTCTTCCTGAGAAGAAAGCCTATTCTGTCATTCCAGGAAAGCCATCTAAGATCACGTGCCACCTACCTTGTTTGCTTGCCAGGGTTGCATGTGGGACTCTGCAGTGGCCCCTGTGAGATGGCTGAGCAACGGTTCTGTGTGGACTATGCCAAGCGTGGCACAGCTGGCTGCAAAAAATGCAAGGAAAAGATTGTGAAGGGCATATGCCGAATTGGCAAAGTGGTACCAAATCCCTTCTCAGAGTCTGGGGGTGATATGAAAGAGTGGTACCACATTAAATGCATGTTTGAGAAACTAGAGCGGGCCCGGGCCACCACAAAAAAAATCGAGGACCTCACAGAGCTGGAAGGCTGGGAGGAACTGGAAGATAATGAGAAGGAACAGATAACCCAGCACATTGCAGGTAGGGTAGATAACACTGCTTTCTCATCTTAACGGTGTTGAGAGAAAAAGGGATAAGGAGTTCAAATGCTTTCTTTCTCTTTTTTTAACTTTTTTTTTTTTTTGAGATGGGGTCTCACTCTGTTGCCCAGACTAGCGTGCAATGTCACAATCATAGCTCATTGCAGCCTCACACTACTAGACTCAAGTCATCCTGACCCAGCCTCCCAAGTAGTTGGGATTACAGGCACAAGACACCATAACCGGTTTTTAACACTTTACTTGGAAATTATTTTAAACTCACTGAAGTGTTGTGAGATTAAAAATAGTACAAAAAACGCTCTTCTTTTACTCATATTTGCCTATTAACATTGTACTCTTCTTTGCTTTATCATATTTGTTCATGTGCTCACTCACTCGCTCTCCACAAAGGCACGTGCGCACACACACGCCTGCGTGCATGCACTCACTTAAAACCATTTGAGAGTAAGTTGCATACATCATGGCCCTTTAAAAGTCTTCAGTGTATATACCTTGAGAACAGGATATATGTTCATTATTCAAGCATAATACAGCTATCAGCTTCAGAAAATTTGTCCTTCATATAATACGTTAATCTACCCTCTGTATATTATTTTTTCAGTAGATTGAATCATACCTTCAATAGCTTTCCCTGCAGTATAGGATCCCAGTTTAGGATCATATCAGCTGTTGCATTTAGCTGTCATGTTTCTTAGGCCCCCTTTAATCTGAAACATTTCCATAGTCTCCCTCTTATGACTGATATTTTGGAAGAATAGAGTACCCATTACTATCCTCTTTTACTATTTTCCCTGTAGCATATAATTCATTATTGTACTTAATTGATACTTAATTGTGTCATATTTGGCCAGTTAGGAATCCCTTTACATTGTCCTATGTGTCCTCTGTACCATCATTACTTTTTTTTTAATTACATACTTCTTTACTCTTGGGCATAGCAAGTTTTATCCTGTATGTATCCTTTACTCTTGGGCAAGCAAGTCTTATCCTGTATGTATCCTTTCCCAGCCCTGAGATTTGCAATTTCTTTGGGGAGTCCAGATTCCTGTTAGTGGGAAATGGTATTAAAATCTGGATGCTGTGTGTCCACATTGTCTTGGGGTATCTGTTTCTTTCTTTTTTCTTTCCTTTTTTTGAGACAGAGTCTCACTCTGTGGCCCAGGCTGGAGTGTAGTGCCACGGTCTCAGCTCACTGCAACCTCTGCCTTCCAGGTTCAAGCGATTCTCTTGCCTCAACCTCCCAAGTAGCTGGGACTACAGGCGTGTGCCACCTCACCCGGCTAATTTTGTGTTTTTAGTAGAGATGGGGTTTCACCATGTTGATATAGCTGGTCTCAAACTCCTGACTTCAAGTGATCTGCCTGCCTTGCCTCCCAAAGTGCTGGGATTATAGGCGTGAGCCACTGTGCCCAGCCATGGGGTGACTGCTTCTAAGCCCTTTCAGCAGACAGAGATAGAAAATACCCTAAAATCCAATAAAAAATTAAAAAAAAAAAAAAAAAAAGAAATGCCAAATGTGGGTGAAGGGGAGAAGCAAAGCAAAGCACACTACCATGTGCGTACCTACGCAACGGTCTTGCACGCTCTGCTCATGTACCCCAAAACCTAAAATCCAATAAAAAATTAAAAGGCAGCAAGTACACCAAAGAAAAAAAAAAAAAGAAAATACATGCATGTATATGCATGTAAAATCCATACCTATATATGGATATATATATAATATGTTTGCATGTACATGCATATTTACATATGCATATTTTAGAAATTTTATGCCAATACCTCCAAATCCAGTTAGTCCTCTTTGACCTTTAGTGTCTGTAAAATAATATTCATACCTTCAACTTAGTTCTGGTCGCCATAGGAAGACTCCTAACAATGGCTCTAAAAAATGGGTATCTAACCTTGTTCTTTGAAAGGAAAATAGGCTTCCTGGAAAGAAAACTCTACTTCTCATATACTTTATTCTCAGACACCCCGTCCCACCTTGCACCTGCCTTAGCTATCTGTCTCAGCCTTTGTTACTTCTTAATCCATCTCTCATTTGGAAGAAGAGAAATATAGGTAGAGTTAATGACTAGATAACTAAGCAACTGGAAATTTTCTTTCCTATGCTAGATTGACATGCTCTGTGATCCTCATTTACTTTTTGTTCATCTCTAAATTAAAGCTGATTCTGTGGAGTTGGAGTTCCCTAAGTTTTATCCATCAAAATGTGATTTCTGATTTCCCCCAAATCATTATTGCTGGAGATCATCATTTATGGGATAAGAGGTGGAGAATGGTGATGAAAATTTAAGTTACTAATAGAGGTAAATGGTAACTGGATCTTTTTTTTTTTTGCCAATCAGTTTGAGCTTATAAGGTTGCTCAGGTTAGCCTTGAACTCATGACCTCGCCTTCGCAAGTGCCACGACCTCCGGCCGGAGCCACTTTGGACCCCAACTGGATCTTTTGTCTCCAGAATATCCTTCCCTCCTCTCCCCCCATTACCCTATTACCTGCTACCCCCACTCAGAAACTACTAGCCACCAGCCAGCCTTGGGCTAGTGGTAGGGTAGTAACTTAACAAGCAAGGCTCTAAGAGCAGTTGATAGATTCTTTGGACATTTTTGCAGAGATCTTTCACTGAAAGATATTTTATCTTCTTTTGGGATCCTACAGATCTGTCCTCTAAGGCAGCAAGTACACCAAAGAAGAAAGCTGTTGTCCAGGCTAAGTTGACAACCACTGGCCAGGTGACATCTCCAGTGAAAGGCACCTCATTTGTTACCAGTACTAATCCCCGGAAATTTTCTGGCTTTTCAGGTAAGATAGGTTAGGACTACTTTAGCTGTTATAGTGTTGCTTTTATTTTGTATTCTACTTAGGATTCTGGCTAAGAGTGAAAAATCTGTGCTATCTCATCTCATTAATAATCTGCTTCTGTCTGAGCACAGACAAGTAATGGCTAATTCTAAGCATTCCATTTGTTTTTTTGTTGTTGTCGTTTGGTTTTGGTTTTGAGGGTTTTCTTTAGGTGGGGTCTCACTCTGTCACCCAGCTGGAGTGCAGTGGTGCAATCTTAGCTTACTGCAACCTTCACCTCCTGGGTTCAGTTGATTTTCCCACCTCAGCCTCCCAAGTAGCTGGGACTACAGGCACCCACCACCACGCCTGGCTAATTTTTGTATTTTTAGTAGAGATGGGGTTTCACCACATTGGCCAGGCTGATCTGGAACTCCTGACCTCAGGTGATCCACCCACTCCAGCTTCCCAAAGTGCTGGGATTACAGGCATGAGCCACTGTGCCCAGCCAGCATTCCACTTGTGTAGCATTTCTTGGTATACTTTATTGCAGCAGAAAGATTTGTCAAGACTTTTTCCCCTTGAGATAGTTACCTGGGTCTGACAGAGATTATTAGAACCTGTATTTTACTTCTGTTTTGATAATGAAAGAATTTTGAGAAATTGCACCCCTGAATATGCCTCGAGATGAAAGTATGGAAGAAGGGAGATGTCACGCATGGATCTCCCTTCTTGATTCTTACAACTATTTGTTCAAAACACTGCAACTTCATAGAACACAGCAGGAAGGAAAAACAAGATCTGAAGGATATTGCTATTTGTTATTGATATATGCTATTACTATCTGAAGGAGGCAGTAAAGCCCAAGGATGAAGCTTGCATACTTTGGAATCAGTGAGCTCTGGATTCAAATCCCATTTCCTAAAGGGGAGGATTGTGGCTATTATTTGTATATTCTTGGCAGGATAGATGAGCAATAAAGTGTTAAGTTTCCTCTTCTCTTCACTATAATATACATGCACACACGTGTATACACACATATATGGTTTCTTTTATATAAAATATTAAATTGCTATTTCATAGAGATTCAGGAAGACTTTGCTGGGGCATGTGGTGTAAATGAGAGTTGAGAAGATCGGGATCATTTATTGGCCTTATGTAAACAGACAGCATTGAGCTAGGTGCTTTTACATATGTGGTTTCATTTGTTCTCCAGTTAACCCTAGAGAGTACATTTATTTAGAAAGGCCCTTTTTTATGACTGAGAAAGTTGAAGTTCAGGGTCATTATGGAGTTAGCATTTGCACAGAAGTCTTGCTCCAGTACCTGTGCTCTTTTACACTGCACTTTTTTGCTGCTTTTATTGCTTGGAGATGTTCTTGTGATTGACTCAGTTGAAGAAAATAAAGTCAAACCACTTGGCCTTATTGTAGAAGTCATTTGGAAATTTTTTTGTCTTTTTTTTTTTTAATATTTTTTATTTATTTTTTTAATATAAAGACGGGGTTTCACCATGTTGGTCAGGCTGGTCTTGAACTCCCAACCTCAGGTGATCTGCCCAAATTGGCCTCCAAAGTACTTAGATTATAGGTGTGAGCCACCACGCCTGGCCATCATTTGGAAATTGAAAGACACTTTATGTGATTGAAAGAAGCCTATACCTGAGGTCAGAAGACTTGGGTTCTGGTCCTGGCACTACTCCTTGACAGCTCAGAGCCCTTAGCAAGGCCTCACCTCTCTTTAGCCTCTGGCTATGAAGAGCAGTGGCCTCTCCTACCATAGTGATATGTGCAGCATACTATGGGAGCATAGGCAGCAATATATAGATGACTTTCCCCTCTGCTTCCTTGAGTTTATGTACTTATTTGTTTAAGCTCCATCATATCTCCATGCTTCATCTACCCCATAGTGTTCTCATGAGGTCTATAAGAGATAACATTGCAAAAACGGTGCCTGGCTCTACAGGATTTTTATTATTTTAAAATTCTGAGGTTGGTTGGTTTGTTGTTTGCTGGTAGACCAAAGATATAGAAGAGTCCAGGTGAAATAAGGACAGCATATTTCTGGAAGGGCCTTAGTGTTGGGGATGGAATTTGGGAGGAGTTGAGAGAAACAGGGTGTTTTAGTTCTTGCAACCTGGTTGAACATTGGCACTTTGGAGACTGTCCCTTAAAATCGTATTTAGATTCCGGGTCAGAGATGAGGATGGATTTATAATTTACAAAGCCCAGACAAGAAGCAGCTTACAACAGCACCCAGCTTAGTAATGACCGTGTCATAAGCTTACAGAATAAAATTTGCTTCTTAAATGGTCACAAGGAGGTGAGAGGGAATCATTGATGAGTTGTGCATAATTATTTTTAACTGTCTGGAGGAAAGCCCTGCCCCTTGACCACATTTTTTAAAAAATTATTCATTTATTTTTTAATAACTGCTCCTGGGGAGCAGGGTTTTATTTTGGCAATAAGAAAAGAAAGGTTAAAGCAGTGAGGGTCGGGATGTTGAGTGTACTTGTGGGATGTGACTTTCTTAGTAGTGTCTTTGTCCTGGCTCTTTCAACGAGCAAGTGGGCCAGGAAGTCATTTGCTCTTCTCAGACGTCAGCCCCCTCATCAGTAAAAGAATGTCGAACTAGATAATCTTTAAGGCTTCTTCTAGCTCTGACAACCTGTGAGAGCGGTAATTTCACATGGACTAACGTGTACCTTGATTTCTTACCCCTTTCTTATGCCTGCTTTTCTAAGGTGAGCTTTACAATTGCTCTGAGATCCTTCTGACCACTTGATTGATTGATTGAGACAGGATCTTACTATGTTGCCCAGGCTGGTCTCCAACTCCTGGACTCAAGCAGTCCTCCCGTGTTTGCCTCCCATAGTGTTAGGTGTGAGCCACTGGGCCCAGCCGGTCCTGATCATTCTTGCATGACTTCAGTCTATTCTTTTGTGAAGTGCTCACATAAAGAGATGCATATCAGTCTGGTCCTTTGCTTGGGTCTGAGGAGGACATTGTTCCTTTACCATTAATTAATAGCTGTAAGATTTCGGAAAATTATTTGACCTCCATTTCTTTATCTGTAAGATGGGTCTGATGTCATCTACCCCAAAGGTCTCTTCAGGGAGAGTAAATGAAGCTAAAGTACCGGCAGAATGTCTTTCTTCCCAGAAAGGCTGAATGAATTCATCTCTGTTGTTTCTCCAGCAGCCAAACCCAACACCTCTGGGGAAGCCCCCTCAAGCCCCACCCGTAAGACAAGTCTGTCTTCAAGCAAATGTGACCCCAGGCATAAGGACTGTCTGCTACGGGAGTTTCGAAAGTTGTGCGCCATGGTGGCTGATAATTCTAGCTACAACACCAAGACCCAGATCATCCAGGACTTCCTTCGGAAAGGCTCAGCAGGAGGTGTGGCATGAGCATCCTGAATAGGCTTTTACTCCAAGAGCTCAAGGCCATGGCTGCCTTCCTGGGCATGTGAGCTGTACAGTTGCTCAGGGTCCCATGCTTGGATTAATGCTTTACTGTAGTGCTGTCTTGAAATTCTTATTGATTTTGAACAAGGGGCCTCGCATTTGCATTTTGCACTGTACTCCACAAATTATGTATTCAGTTTTGCTCAGAGCACTTTGGCGTCTTTCTTCCTCTCCCCTTAGTCTGCCCCTAGGAAGCCAGAGAACCCATTCTATTTGACTAGTTAGAAAATTTACTGTCCTGCATATTTAATTTGGTTTTTGTGAACCATATACACAGCTTGAAATAGAATCTTCCAACTCTGTTTCTTTCATTTATCTAACAACTTGTCACTGAGCATCTGTAATGTCCTTGTCACTGGGCATGCGAAATGAAAGTAACCACCCTGTCCAATGAGAGTTCATCTATAGGCTAAAGGTGAGGCAGACACACAATCCACCAGCCTCTGAACTCTGTGCTTTCTCCTACTGTAGCGATACACACAGGTTACTATAGGAGCATGGGCAGTGATACACAGATATGTTTTGGTCTCTGCTTCTTTGAGTATTTATTTATTGAGACAAAAAATGTGACTGTGTTGCTCAGGCTGGAGTGCACTGGTACAATGTCAGCTCACTGCAACCTCCACCTCCTGTGGTAAAGCAGTCCTCCTGCCTCAGCCTCCCAAGTAGCTGGGACTATAGTCATGTGCCATCATGTCTGGCTAATTTTTGTATTTTTTGTAGAGAAGGGGTTTCACCATTTTGCCCAGATTGGTGTCTAACTCCTGGATTCAAGTGATCTGCCTACCTTGACTTCCTAAAGTGTTGGGATTACAAGCATGAGCCACCACACCAAGCCTGAGTTTATTTATTTTATTTTATTATTTTTGAGATGGAGTCTCAATCTTTCACCAGGCTGGAGTGCAGTGGCATGATCTTGGCTCACTGCAACCTCCTCCTCCTGGGTTCAAGTGATTCTCCTGCCTCATCCTCCTGAGTAGCCGGGAATACAGGCACGTGCCAACACACCCAGCTAATTTTTATATTTTTAATAGAGATGGGGTTTCACCATGTTGGCCAGGATGGTCTCAATCTCTTGACCTCGTGATCCACCCACCTTGGCCTCCCAAAGTGCTAGGATTACAGGTGGAGCCACTGCACCTGGCCTGTTTTTTTATTTATTTAATTTTTTGTGTGTGAGACAGAGTCTTGCTCTCTCACCCAGGCAGGAGTGCAGTGGTGTGGTCACAGCTCACTACAGCCTTGACCTCCTGGACTAAAGCAATCCTCCTGTCTTCTCCTCCCAAGTAGCTGGGACCACAGGCATATGCCACCATGTTCAGCTAATTTTTATATTTTTTGTAGAGATGGGGTCTTTCTGTGTTGCCCAGGCTGATCTCAAACTCGTGAGCTCAAGCATTTCTCCTGCCTCAGCCTCCCAAAGTGCTGAGATTATAGGTGTGAGCCACCTTGCCCAGCCTTCTTTGAGTTTATATATTTATTTGTTTAAGCTCTGTTTCTCAAGAAACGTTCCTTTCTTCTGTCTCCAGATGGTTTCCACGGTGATGTGTACCTAACAGTGAAGCTGCTGCTGCCAGGAGTCATTAAGAGTGTTTACAACTTGAATGATAAGCAGATTGTGAAGCTTTTCAGTCGCATCTTTAACTGCAACCCAGATGAGATGGCACGGGACCTAGAGCAGGTCAGAGGAAGGGGAGGGAGAGTAGGCTGCATTCCAGGTAGGGTTTTGCCAAGCTAGGCACCTGCAGCCTCTTTTTTTTCTGGTTGGGATATGTACTGTTTTAGGAAACTGAAACCCATTTGAGCAAGCTTCCGTTATTGGGGGAGTTGAATGTGAGGCTATAGCTGTTAATTTCGTAAGTTTCTGAGGATGAAAACCATACCACTGCTGAACCACAAAGGCCTGGTTCTCAAAAGTCAGAATTTGAGACTTGCCCCCCTGTCTCTCCTGGGGCTCTTATTCTGGACTCTCTTTTTTCTTGCTTGTTTTCTCCCATAACTTGGGCTTACCAAGCTTTAGGTTTGTTCATGACTCTAGCCTTGGTACATGACTCTAGCCTTGGTATCATGGAAAGTTTCCATCTCAGCACCCCCATTATCTGATGGCATTTTATGTCTCTAGTTCAAATTCTTAAGCAGGAATCAAATTAGCTCAGCACTAGATTAGTTCTTGTGTCTTTTCTCAGCTAGGGCAGGTTGGTACCTTGTATGGAAGACAGACATACCCCTTCTAGGAAATGTGGGTGGGCTAGTGTTGCTAAGAAGTAGGCTAGATATGTTGAGTTGGGATAAGAGCTATGATTGAAATTTCTTGATTAATCTTCAGTCCTGGGTTTTAGGGGAGACACTTGGCCACCCTAGGGTTGCAGCAGTGGCATTTTGGTTTTTGGAGACAGGGTGACGTGTCAGAGACAATCAGAGTCTTCTTTGAGCAGAGCAAGTCTTTTCCCCCAGCTGCCAAGAGCCTCCTTACCATCCAGGAAGTGGATGAGTTCCTTCTGCGGCTGTCCAAGCTCACCAAGGAGGATGAGCAGCAACAGGCCCTGCAGGACATTGCCTCCAGGTGGGGGAGCTCCTCTGTCAAACCATGCCCAATGGGGATGGGCATAGAGAGATGGCATCTCTTGGGAGGGGAAGGTTCCCTTGGGATTCCAGAGCTCTTCAAGACCAAGTTAAATGTGCCTCATCCCCCTAGGTGTACAGCCAATGACCTTAAATGCATCATCAGGTTGATCAAACATGATCTGAAGATGAACTCAGGTGCAAAACATGTGTAAGTAGCAGCTCCTCTGACAGCCTGAGCTGTCGTTTGTTAGCTTCGTTTGTTCGCTTCGTTTGTTCCCAACTGGTGTCAGGACTTTTGAGTCCCAAGGATTTGAATCCCCATTCCATCTTCTCTCTTTCTGTGGGACCCTGATCCTTCACTTGACCTGTCTCTGCGCTCATTTTATCCTGTATAAAATGTAGATAACAGTACCTTTCTCACAGATTTGTTACAGTTGAAGTGTGGAATACGTTCAGTGAGTATAGTATGAGGCTCTTGCCTACTCCAGCCTCCTGCGTGCTAAGGCACATAGAGCTGAATCTCAAAAGAGCTGAATTTTCCAAGAGTTTTCTCTCCTGTGAAAGTCTTTAGACAGTAGAACACAGCCCCTTCCCTATAGATTAGGATTTCTCCTGTGAGGACAGATTACTGTCCAAAACCATGGAGTCAAACAAAGGCAGTGGTTTTGTTTCCATGCTCCTGTACCTTGTGGCAGGTTAGACGCCCTTGACCCCAATGCCTATGAAGCCTTCAAAGCCTCGCGCAACCTGCAGGATGTGGTGGAGCGGGTCCTTCGCAATGAGCAGGAGGTGGAGAAGAAGCCAGGCCAGAGACGAGCTCTGAGCGTCCAGGCCTCACTGATGACACCTGTGCAGCCCATGCTGGTGAGCATGCCCCTGCTCTCCATGCCTCCAAGTTTCACATCCTTCTGGCTGAGATCTGATAGGGTATGAGTATTGACAGCTCTTGCGAGTTGACTGGAGGAGCTTGGGGAAGGAAGATGGAGGTACAAGGAGGCATTTCTCAGTAGGAAGTGAAGGCAAAAGAAAAGACATAGGATCTAGTGGAAAGACCTGAGCTGTAGGCCCAGCTATGCCTCCAAGAAGCCGAAGAATCTTAGATGAGTGACTTAGCCTCTCTTGTCCTTCAGTCTCCTTTGTGGATGATGTCTGAGACTGAGGCATCTCCCTAGAATGGTTTATCTGTTATCTTAACTGAGGACAGATGGATGTATTAAGTAACCCCTGAGATTCTGTGACCTACTGCAAAGTAGATCTGAGAGTTGGTAGCAGAGCCAGGCTTCCTGTGACAGGGTGACTTGGGAAGAGGGAGGACACATAGGAATGAAGGCTAACTCTGACAGACATCATCTTGGGCCTCTGCTTATTTCACAAGAAATGGGATTTCCTTTCCAGCGTCATTTTCTTGTGTGACAGGACCCACCACATATGCTGCCATGCCTACTGTGAGATCCTTTAGATTTTCCAGTGATACATGGTGATTTTTTAAAAATCGTCTTATGTGTCATACTAAAGCCTTGGTTTAGAGTTTTACGTTTGAGATAGAGAAGTGTTCTCTTCTTGCTAGGAATGTGGGATAGCCGTCACCAAAACAGTGAGATCTCCATCCTGCTGATGGGACTGCGGCCACCTGCAGTAGTGGCCTTTCTGACTTTTATACAAATGCCTCCAAGAGTCTGTTCTACAGCTTGTCATTTAAAGACTGGCATGGGTTATATAGCTTAGTGGTTAACCACACAGGTTTTAGAGGTGGGCCCAGATCCAAATCTCATTCTTGCCTTTTACTAGCTATGTAACTTAAGCAAGCACTTAATATCTCTAAGCTTCAATTTTATCAAAAACTAGAAACAGTATTTGTCACATAAGGTGTCATATCAGAGATGAAATGAGATTATGTAGATGAAGTACTCCCAAAATGGTAGCTATTGTTTGAGTTAGGCTAGCACAGGTATGTAAGTGAGCACTCCAGTATCTGGAAATCCTGTCATAGGGATCCCCAGTCACTCACCCTGCCAGCCTCACTGTCACCTGCACTCTTTAACCTTAGCTTCACATACGTCTTTTACTGGGATAACTGATGTATTTAATATTGCCAGAGGCCCTGCAAGAGCCTGACCTAATGAGAAAAAAATTAAATCTTATTTCACTGGGCTTTTACTTGTTGTACAATGAATAGCATTCATATTCCTCAAAATGCAAGCTCCTGTGTCAGCTCTGGTGATTATTTTATAGGCAGAATGCAACATTGTCCAGCCCTTTCCATTCCCATCACCTCTTCAACAACCTTCCCTGAGCATAAGTTGTGGGGACCCAGGTCCTGCCCTGACTAACCCAATTGCAAGGTCTTTGCTATCGCTGCCGAGCAGCCCCTCACTGAAAGTCTCCAGGCTTTGCTTTCCCCACCCCAAGGCGGAGGCCTGCAAGTCCATTGAGTATGCAATGAAGAAGTGTCCCAATGGCATGTTCTCTGAGATCAAGTACGATGGAGAGCGAGTCCAAGTGCATAAGAATGGGGACCACTTCAGCTACTTCAGCCGCAGTCTCAAGCCCGTCTTGCCTCACAAGGTATGAGTCCCTTCCTTTCTGCCAGAACCATCTTTCCCCTTTCTGCCTTTAAGAATCTCAGGGCCAGAGTCCCACAGCCATTCCAGCTATGGTACACAATAGGGGTTTCTTTTTATTTGTTGAATGAATTAATTCATTCATTCGTTTATTCATTTTTGGAATTTTCCAATAATGAAGGGCTGCTTAGCAGGGAAAGCGAACGAGTTCTGACTTGGGTTAGTGGTGAGGATAGAGCTCCCTGGGACAGTGATAGTTCTTTACTCTTTTTTTTTTTTTTGGAGACAGGGTCTCACTCTGTCACCCAAGTCTGGAGTGCAGTGGCACAATCTTGGTTCCATGCAACCTCTGCCTCCCAGGTTCAAGTGATTCTCTTGCCTCAGCCTCCTGAGTAGCTGGGACTACAGGTGTGTACCACCATGTCCAGCTAATTTTTTTATTTGTAGTAGAGACAGGGTTTTCCCATGTTGGCCAGGCTGGTCTTCAACTCCTAACCTCAGGCAATCCACCTGCCTCAGCCTCCCAAAGTGCTGGGATTATAGGCATGAGCCACTGCATCCAGCCAGTGATAACTTCTTTTGCCCACAGTGATACTGGGACAGTGAGCTCAGTTGGTGAGTTGCTGTGTGTCTTTTGTGTTCCCATGTCCCAGGTGCTCCCCATGAGCTAGACTAAGGCTTATTTATATACAACAGGCTATTGGGCTGTCATTCATTAATTATTTATCAGATGCTTACTGACTGCTACAGCTAGTGGGGATATAGCAGTGGAAAAAAATGGACAAAAGTTCTGGCCATCATGAAGCTTACATTCTGGTATAAACACAGTCTCATGGGGACATCTGGGAGCCTAGGTTCCTGCTCTACTCAGGGGTGGCATTTGAAACCTTATTCCTTAGTCCTCTCAACTCCCAAGGATACTGTGAGCCTTTGGGGTGTCTTCAGGGAAAAGCAGCTGGAACATCTAGCTCCAGTAGCTTGTAAGCAGATGGAATTCCTGTCCCTACTATCTTTTCTTTCCTAACTCAGACTCAGTTTTTCAGAGCCCTAGGGGGTTCAGGAGGACATGCTATGTGACCCCTGTGCTTACCTCAGCCTTGCCTTCCTGCTGGAGCACTGGGGACAAAGCAGTCAGGCCATTTGTTTCATTTGTTCCAGAGGAGAGCTAAGCAGTGGTCTCATTGTGGAGCTTTAGTGCAGGGTCACTTGTTCTGTGAAACACTAGAAAATCACTGAGTGAGTGCTTCTGGTGAGGTTGGTGTTAAATAGACACCATCTGTGACCCAGGAAGAAATCTCAGCACACTTCTCCAGATTTAGTCCTTTCCTTAACTTTCCCTTATGTTCACTCATCCCTTGCCTCTCCTGTGGTCTGGGTTCTTAAAGGGCTAGATTAGGGATTGAAGGAGAATGGCATGAATGTGCTGGCCTTTCCTGTTCCTGCTCTAAGCATCCTGGGTGGTAGTGATGGCTATTGGTTCAGGGCTCCCACTCAGAGAAGACACTGCTCAAGTTTCCTTGCTGTACCTGAGAGGGTTCATTTCTACCTTTCTGTTTTCAAGCAATCTGTTCTCCCCTAATCCAATCCTCAGCCTGATAGTCACATATCTTCTACAACAGGCATTAATCTCTGCCTACCCACCATTCTTCCTCCTCCTCCTGAACAGGTTTACTCTCTGTTGCATCCATTTTCCTCCAAAATTGTGCCTTCTCTACAGCCCATAGAAAGTGACTCATCATGGGCTGACCTCTTCCTGGGCCTGGACAGAAGTACTGAAACAGATAGCCTCTTCCTGTTGTCTAGGTGGCTTGCAAGGCCTAGCATGTTTTGCACATTAGCTGGGCCTTCCACATGTTGTTTTGTATTCCATCTGGGGTCTGGGCTTTGCTCTCCATGGCATGGTTTTGGGTCCCTGCTGCCATGTCATCCCTCACCAAAGCTCCCCTTCTGCTTTCAGGTGGTCCACTTTAAGGACTACATCCCCCAAGCTTTTCCTGGGGGCCAAAGCATGATCTTGGACTCGGAGGTGCTTCTGATTGACAACAAGACAGGGAAGCCACTGCCCTTTGGGACTCTGGGAGTGCACAAGGTACTGCCTTAGGCCATATATGCAAGAATGAATGAGTGTGAGTACGTACATGTGTGTGCATGCTGCAGTCTGAAAAAGGAAATACCACTTAGTGTGGGACTTACTCTTCCCTTCTGAACTCTTTCTGTTTTTGTTTTTGTTTTTTTTGTCTTGTTTTTCTCCTAAAAAGGGACTGCTATTGGGAACCAACTTATAATTGGGTTGGTTTCCATTTAGCACGATCTGCTTAGTGCCCTTATGGCCCAGGGGGGCTTCAGAGCAGAAATAGGACTTTTTCATCTGGTGCTTCAGGGGGCCTCCAGAAGTGGATTAGTACTCCTTATATTTTCATGCCCTCTGACTTGTCCTTTGTATACCTACTACCTCATTTTCCCTTACAGAAAGCGGCCTTTCAGGATGCCAATGTCTGCCTGTTTGTTTTTGATTGTATCTACTTTAATGATGTCAGCTTGATGGACAGGTGAGTTGGCTTAACATCTTTAAACCCAAAAACTGCCAGAATCTGTTTCCCTGAGTCAGGAGGGAGGGGGGCTTCAGGTTGGAGAGGAGGGTATGGGGAAGCAGCTCACATGTGTTTGTGTTCAAGAGCTTGCTGGAGGCAATGGCAAGAGGGAGCTGAGAGGAAGCACAATTGCTACATGATCAGCTCCCCACTTGGTATAAGAAAGAGCCTATGTGAGGGGTGGGGCTAAGGGTAAAAAAAAAAAAAAAAGCCTGTATGTTGACTCCATCTCATCTCTGAATGAGTCACAGAAGAAACTCAAACCCCCAAAGTTTCTCTATTAAAGTAAAATGGATTTTTACAGAGAAATGGACTTTGAGCTTAGTGGGGTTTCAGTTTATTTCTCCATTGATACCCCTAGGGGCATAAGGCAGATGGTTTTCAGCTCAGAGGTTTTGATTTCAGAAGAGACTGACAACAGAAAGCTGCTGATTACAGGGGAGGCTATGGGTAGGACCATCTTGGAGAGAATTAGCAGTCTTGACTTAGCTGCATCCATATGCTTGGGCCTGAGAAAGCAGTATCAGCCCTTTCCTCACTTAGAAATGTATCTCTACCCCTGTTCCTCCTGCAGTAGCCACATCCTTGACTGGGGAGGGAGAAGGAAGGAGAGAGGGAAAGAATTGGTGGGGGTAGGACCTGGGGTTCCGGTCTTGAGGACTGTCTCAGCCTGCGTACCCAGGACCAGCTCTCCTTGGGGTTGGGGTAAAGCAGGACGCAGGGGGTAAAAAATGAGAGTTGGAATCATTTTTCAAATGAGACCAGAATTTATACAATCTGGGCTACAGTCCAGCTTTCCCTTGACTCAGTCCATGAAGTAGAAATAGGAACTACAACTCTGAACTGGCTCTGTGCCACAGCTCACAACTGTCCATCTTCGGTCACAATGGAGCCCTCGTAGCCCTTGACAGCAGAACTGTTACACATGAGGTCTTTGATCCATGGCAAACCCTTTCTTGAAGCAGCAGTTTTATCAATGTGCCCCTTCCTTCCTTAAAATTCCTGATAAGGGTGGGAGGATCCCGGTCTAACCTCACCTCTCCTATTCTCAGGCCTCTGTGTGAGCGGCGGAAGTTTCTTCATGAGAACATGGTTGAAATTCCAAACCGGATCATGTTCTCAGAAATGAAACGAGTCACAGTAAGTGAAGACCCTACCCTAGGCAATGTCCTAGAAGTTTGAAAGCAGAGCAGAGAACTCCTTGGGTCAAATGCAACTGGAAGAATAAATGACATTTGCCTTTGACTCTTGTATATGCTGTCTGCTAGTCTTCGCCCAGAAGGGTAGGGCATGGAAATCCTTCCTAGGTAAGCCCCCAGTGTTTCAAAGCCATAGCAGCCCTCTGGTTGGGATGAGAAGCTCCCTGCTTTCTAACCATTTGTCCCTTATATTCAAGTAAGGGTGTTTTTAGTAGGCACTTCACTAATGTGCGAAAAGGAACAGCCCCCATACCACTTCATACCAACTTCAGCATCTCTCTTGTCCCTCAGAAAGCTTCGGACTTGGCTGACATGATAACCCGGGTGATCCGGGAGGGATTGGAGGGGCTGGTGCTGAAGGATGTGAAGGTAAGGTGGCCCTCCTTGCTCTCCTGTCCACTCACTCGTAGCCGTCTCCCGAGCCTTTGCAGCCCTGACCAGGAGATGGTGGTGGCAGTCTGCAATGGTTGGGGTGGCTGCTGGGGGAGCCTTTCCAGGGTCTGGGCAGTCCTGCATCCGGAGGATGGGTTTTTGTGTCTCCTGTAGTGCCTGGAACCTGGGGGCTCTTCTCCAGAGGGAGGGGCACTGGGCTAGATCTGGTGTGTAGCAGTGAAGGGGTGAACCCATCCTCATGGAGTTGCCTTTCTACTCTGTGGTCTCTCTTTTGCTTCCCCTCAGGGTACATATGAGCCTGGGAAGCGGCACTGGCTGAAAGTGAAGAAAGACTATTTGAATGAGGGGGCCATGGCCGACACAGCTGACCTGGTGGTCCTTGGGGCCTTCTATGGGCAAGGGAGCAAAGGTCAGGATGGCCTCTGGCCCCTGGGGTGATACTGTTTTAAAAGGCACAGCTTGACATACAGGCTGGCCTTGATCTTACTGGCGTGATTTGGCAGGATGGCCAGTCATGACTTCTGAAGTCCTGGGATCTAGGGCCCCCAGCTGGCCTGAGTCACCTCAGGTAGTGACATAATATGAGAGCTGTTGACTTGGGTAGGGAAAAATCAGAATAGAGTACTATGTTAGCCTGGCAGAAGGAAGCACCACCAATTATTTCTTCAGGACCTGACAGCTTTCACCTTAGGGAAAATATCTTTTCCAAATGGAGAAGAAGCTGGAGTTGGAGGAACTAATACTTTTAAGCAGTCTGTCATGTGTCCAACACAGTTCAATGCCCCAGAGCCCAGTGTGTTGGGTGCAATTATCCCTAATTTAGGGAAGAGGAAATTGGGGTTTATAAAGGTTAAAATTACACAGCTAGTAAGAGGTAGCTCCAAGAGTTAAAATGATGCTCTGATGGCTGAGACCTAGGTCCTATTTCTGGCCCTGGGCTGCCTCTCTTGGGCTCTGCTCGTGGGGCTAGCAGAGATGGCTTCTCCAACCCACACTCATCTCACACTCCCCTCCCAGGCGGCATGATGTCAATCTTCCTCATGGGCTGCTATGACCCTGGCAGCCAGAAGTGGTGCACAGTCACCAAGTGTGCAGGAGGCCATGACGATGCCACACTTGCCCGCCTTCAGAAGGAACTAGACATGGTGAAGATCAGCAAGGTGAGGAAGGGACATAGTTGGCCCTGGCCTTGACTGGCCATCAGCACTGAGACAAAGGCTGTGCTTTGGGGACTACAGGTATTTATCTGTCTCCCCACAAAGGAGGGTTGCAGCTTGCCCAGGGGAACAGGATTAGGCCTTAAAATCTCTGAGTACCTTCCTTGTGGAAAATGGCTTGCATGCCTCTAGGTCATACTGCTCTGGGCTGGGAGGATCACATGGCTCAAGGGTCAGCTGTTTAAATGGCTTCTTACAATCTTATTACCAAGAGAAGGGATTTAAGCCTTGTTCCAGTTTGGGAACAGCCTAGCACAGCATCTTTTCTCCTCTAGGACCCCAGCAAAATACCCAGCTGGCTGAAGGTCAACAAGATCTACTATCCTGACTTCATCGTCCCAGACCCAAAGGTATCAACCCAGTGGTTTGGGGTCCTCCAGCCCATAGGATTAGCTTACAGGTTCTCTAGTGCCACAGAGAAACCATCTCACCTCAATGAAAGTCCACCCAGGGATGGGGATCTGGATTTCCAGCCAAGTGATAGGCATAGTGACAACCAGCCAACTCTGAGGAATTTTCTCTGTGATAGGGAAGAGAGTACCTATTCCCTCAGCACAAAGGATGTGTTCCGGAAGCATCCTGGCCCAATCCCTTGTACTGACCAAGAAAGAGATCCAGAGAACAAACAGGACTTCTCTAAGGTTATCCAGCAGCAGCAGCAGCAGCAGAACCAGGACCCAAGTTTCCCAGCTGTTAGCTGGTTTTTGGTTTTAACTGTTCTGCATTGCTTCTAGCTGGTTGGGAGATACTTTTTTTTTTTTTTGACAGGGTCTCACTCTATCGTCCAGGCTGGAGTGCAGTAGCGAGGTCTTAGCTCACTGCAGCCTCCACCCCGCAGGTTCAAGCAGTTCTCCCCCCTCTGTCTCCCAAGTAGGTGCGATTACAGGGGTGTGCCTACACACCCGGCTAATTTTTGTATTTTTAGTGTTGATGAGGTTTTACCATGTTGGCCAGGCTGGTCTCAAGCCCCTGACCTCAGGTGATCCACCCACCTCGGCCTCCCAAAATTCTGGGATACAGGCAAGAGCCACCGCGCCCAGCTAATACTTGCTTCACTTTTTTTTTGAGACAGAGTCTTGCTCTGGAGAGCAGTGGCATGATCTCGGCTCACTGCAACCTCTGCCTTCCAAGTTCAAGAGATTCTCATACCTCAGCCTTCTGAGTAGTGGGGTCTACAGGTGTGTGCCACTATGCCTGGCTAATTTTTATAGTTTTCGTAGAGATGGGGTTGTGCCATGTTGGCCAGGCTGGTCTCAAACCCCTGACCTCAATAATCTGCCCACCTCAGCTTCCCAAAGTGCTGGGGTTACAGGCATGAGCCACCACACCCAACCACTGATACTATCTTCTTAACTAGTGATGACCTGCTGGCTTACTCCTGACAGAAAGCTGCTGTGTGGGAGATCACAGGGGCTGAATTCTCCAAATCGGAGGCTCACACAGCTGATGGGATCTCCATCCGATTCCCTCGCTGCACCCGAATCCGAGATGATAAGGACTGGAAATCTGCCACTAACCTTCCTCAACTCAAGGTAGCAGCTCTTAGGCTATATGTGTATTCTCCACACCACTGTCTAGGCCTTGGAGCCTTGGCCATCTTGACCATTCATATATGCTCCGTCTTCTTTCTCCCATTCCCCTGAGGCAGAGCAAGGAGGACAATTAGAGAGGGAAACCAAACTGCTGCTGGGCCAGGGTCACAGCACTAGACCTCCTTCTCCCTCCATCCCTGAGTAAGGAACCTTGCATTCATCAGGCCCCACAGAGCAGCCCTTGGTCTGGGGAGTGAGAGTTGAGGGAGGAGCTCCTATTGCTCCTGTTGAGGGGTGCCCTGACTTAGGCTATAGGGCCATACTTTGGAATAGTACCAAGGAAGCCAACTCCCTTTCTTTGCCCTTTATCTTTCTCGTATCTCTGTTCCCACATGTGCCTAAAATACATCACACACACCACCTCTGAGGCCATAGTCTGGGAAGACAATGAAACTCTCTGACATTGTCCCTCCCTGCCTCAGGAACTGTACCAGCTGTCCAAGGAGAAAGCAGACTTCACTGTAATGGCTGGAGATGAAGGAAGCTCTACTACAGGGGGTAGCAGTGAAGAGAATAAAGGTCCCTCGGGGTCTTCTGTGTCCCACAAGGCTCCCATCGCCTCCCCCAGCAAGCCATACACCAGTACCAAGAAAGCAGAAGGGAAGCTGAGTAACTCCAACAGCAAAAGCGGTAAGGATAGGGAGGGGGCTGGGATGATGTAGAGGGCAGTGTGAGGGGCAGAGACCTAAGGGCAGGGACCCGGTCTCTCACATTCCAGCCCTGAGATCTCATGATTATCTATATCCACTGTAGCGGACATGGACTGCATTCCTGGTGTGTGTCCAGCCATGGGCCAGAGACCATTCTGCTGGACACCCTGTATCTGCTCAGCAAACCTGAATGGAGCAATACCCTGGGGAGAGCCAGTCTGACTGGGGATAAGCCACTTTCAAGCTAAAGGGCTTAGCTGATAACTTACCTCCTCTCTCACCAATGCTCATAGCAGAGAAAGGTCCTGCCCCTTCCTATTACTGCCCCTCACTTCAGGGATCATTATCAGCAATCCCTACCCTCTTAGTTCTTTTGTATCTTATGTTTTTTAGAGACAGGGTCGCACGCTGTCACCCAGGCTGGAGTGCAGTGGCACAACCATAGCTCACTACAGCCTCGAACTCCTGGGTTCAATTGATCCTCCCACCTCAGCCTCCTGAGTAGCTGGGACCATAAGTGTGCACCACCACGCCCAGCTTCCTCTCTGCCCTGCAGGCAACATGCTGACTGCAAAGCCTTCCCCTGTGACAATGGGAGAGAAGCTGGCCATGAAGTCTTCTCCGGTGAAAGTGGGGGAGAAGCGGAAAGCTGCTGATGAGACCCTGTGCCAAACAAAGGTGAGAGTAAAAACAGCAACACACAGATGGGCCAGTTTGGCCCAGGTTGTGTTCCCAAACCTCTGCACAAGAAGTTTGAAAAAGGATGAGCAAAGGTGTTTGGTGAACATTGGTTAAACCTCTTCGCTGCCTGCAGCTGCTCCTCTGTTGGGGCATGGTCAGTGGTGCTGCTGCTCACCCTGTGTCCTCTTGTTGCCTTGCAGAGGCGGCCAGCCAGCGAGCAGAGAGGAAGGAGAACTGTGCCAGCAGGCAGGAGATAGAACAGCTCGGCCTAGCCAGGAGAGACTGCAGGGACTCACTCAGCTACTGGCCCCAAGTCAAAATTTACATTAAAGGGGAAAGCACAGTCTGGGTGTGGGAATGCGGCAGTGTGAGTTTGTGGTCTGGGTAGAAGCAGGTCCAGTGAGCAGGGAGATAGGGAGAGGGCACTGGCTTGGTGACTCTCCTCCCACCTGAGGAGCCTTTTCCCTTTTACACTCACTTGTCAGTCTTGGGTTTGGCAACATCTCTTCAGCACTTGTTTTTTTTGTTTTGTTTTTGAGACAGTCTCACTCTGTCACCCAGGCTAGAGGGCAATGGTGCAATCTTGGCTCACTGCAACCTCTGCCTCCCAGGTTCGAGCGATCCTCCTGCCTCAGCCTCCCAAGTAGCTGGGATTACAGGCACCTGCCCCCATGCCCAGCTGATTTTTGTATTTTTAGTGGAGACAGGGTTTCACCATGTTGCTCAGGGTGGTCTCAAACTCCTGACCTCAAGTGATCCACCTACCTTGGCCTCCCAAAGTGCTGAGATTACAGGCCTGAGCCACAATGCCCAGCCTCTTTTGAGCACTTTCTGATGCCAAGAACTAGGTTTAGTACTGGCACAACTCTGGGGGAGGTGATGGCTCAAAGGGCAGATAGAGAAGTAAACATATGGCCGGGCACAGTGGGTCACACCTGTAATCCTAGCACTTTGGGAGCCTGAAGTGGGTGGATCACCTGAGGTCAGAAGTTCAAAACCAGCCTGGCCATCATGGTGAAACCCCAACTTAAAAAAAAAAAAAGAAGTAAACATATGATCCACACCATGTCATTGCACCCCCACTCTCCCCACTACCATCCAAGAGTAAGCATAGAAATCTGACAACTCAGGGCCTGAACTCAATCCCCAACAGACCTGTAGAAACATTTCCCGTCTCTCCTCCCTGCCTGAAGAGTTGAACCCATCGAGAGTAGTAAGCAGGACTCCTGGCCCCTCAGTCTAGCAGGTTATACAGAGTAGACTGCTTGGTCTCAACGGCTATCAGAGTCTGGGGGTGCTGAGTCAGAGCCAGCTCTGCCTGCCCACCATGACTGGATGGCTCTTACACACATGTACTCTTCCCGTCTCAAGGTCCCAGATGTTGAGGCCCATCCCCTCTTCCCCTAGCAGGGATGGAGGGGCGTGTCAGTCCTGTATAATTTGGAGTGACTGGAGGGGTGGGAGTATTGATGCATGTTACTCCAGTAAGCTCCACTGCTTGTGTCCTAACTCGAGGCTCCCTCCTTATTCTGTCCTGTGCTCATCTGGGTGAAGACCCATCTATACCCAGTTTAGCTCTGACCCCACCCTGATCCCTCTGCATTTGCAGGTGCTACTGGACATCTTCACTGGGGTGCGGCTGTACTTGCCGCCCTCCACACCAGACTTCAGCCGTCTCAGACGCTACTTTGTGGCATTCGACGGGGACCTGGTACAGGAATTTGATATGGCCTCAGCCACGCATATTCTGTGTAGCAGGGACAAGAACCCTTCAGCCCAGCAGGTCTCCCCAGAGTGGATTTGGGCATGTATCCGGAAACGGAGACTGGTAGCTCCCTGCTAGGCTTGCTGTCTTCCCTCTCCCTTCAGGCCACACTCTCCTTTACCATACTACTGGACTGGGCGCAGGCTGGAGGCAGGTAGGGACAGAATAGGGGGAATGGGCTTGCTTCTCCCAAACCCACCAGTTCTCCACAGTCTCTTCTGGACCAGAAATTAGTTGCTGTGGGTGCCACAACTGAAGTCAGTTTCTCTTGCTGGTTTAAATAGATCTTTCAGGTCTGGGTGTTGGTTTTGCCATCTTTTTGTTTTCTTTGAAAAGCAACTTAATTACCTTTTTTATCTTGCAGTTATCTTTGTCCTTTCCCTACCAACACCCCCAATAATTTCCCTAGAGATTAAGGAGTAAAGGCTGGGCAGCTCTGTCCATAAAGCCTTCTTTCCCCTGCTTGCCTCCCGCTTTGTACTTCCAGGCTTATTTAAAGTTGTATTTTAAAAACTGCCCTGAGAAATGCTTCTATTTAGCAAAACTTGTATTCAGCCTGGCACCCTTTGCCAGGAACAAACCCTCATGTGAAAGAAAACAAAATGAACTTTTATGACTTTCTTCTCTGTGTTCTCCTATTACAGGGTGAGGATCCCCAGTTTGAAGGGAGGGACTAGGATCAGGTAGGAAAATGGGGCCTTTATGAAGAAACGGGAGGTGGTTTGGGCCACTCCTCTGGAGGGATAGCGGGCTCCAAGATGATTTGCCTCCCCAAAACCTGGAAACAAGACTGCTTTTTTAGAATAAAAATCCACGTGGGGCTTGAGACCAAGAATAGCCTTGCTGCCACCAACATGGAGACTTTGTACTGTGTCCAGTTCTTAGTGCTCGAATGTCCTAACCTGAAGTTGAAGAAGCCACCCTGGATGCACATGCCGTCAGCCATGATTGTGTCTGCTCTGGTGGTGGTGTCTTCCTCGTAACTGGAGGAATAATTACTGTGTTATTGCTGAACCTCTAAGTGTTGGCTGATAAACATGGGCATCAGAGGCCAGTAATTTTCTTGGCCTACAGAGTAAATGGACAGTATATTATGGAAGGACTTGCATTCAGCTTCCTGTTTACAATGGGAAGTTGGCTTTTATAATCCTGGGCCGATTGAATGCACCAAATATCCCAAAACTCAGTAGATTTCCTCTGCTATTCATTGGATGCGTCTGTGTCCTATTGAGTTTTTTCATGCTAGAGTATTCATGAGAATGAAACTGCCGGGTTAAGAGTGCCTTTTGAGAAGAAATCAGTGGATACTGGATTTGTTCCTGTCAATTAAGTTTTAAAGCCTATACCAATCCTCTAATATGAAATGTGGGAAAGAATGAAGAGCAGCTGTAAAAGAAATACATAGTGGGAAAAAAAAAAAACAGAAGTATATTGAAGCTTGGACTAGAATTTCTTCTTGGTATCAGAGAGACAAGTTTATCACAGAATTTTTTTCCTGCTGACCTATTGATATACCAACAATGTTTAGTGGCATTTTCTTCTTAATTTTTCATTTCTTGAAGAAAATATACTCCATATCTACAAAAGAAAAAAAAAGAATAAAAATCCACACCTAATAACAGATCCATACAACCTCCTGTATATGGAGAATAGCTCCTGTGCTGCCTGAAGCTGATTTATTTGAAGAAACAAAAGGAAGATGATTAAGTGTAGACAAGTGCTGTTCAATAGAACTTTTTGCAGCAATGGAAATATCCATAAATCTGCACTGTCCAACCAAACTAGCCACAGACAACTGCTGAGCAATTGAAAATGAAGCTAGCACAACTAAGAAATTTTTATTTTTTTATTTTTTACTTGGAAGCCCAAGATCGAACAACTAAGAAATTGAAGTTCCCATTTTAATTCAAATTCAAATGGTCACATGTTGCTAGTGACTACCACATTGGACAGTGCAGGTGTAGATGGAGTTTAAATGAGTCCTGAAACTTAATGGCTCTAACTTACTTAGGCAAGTTATGTAACATCTAAGCCTCAGTCCCTCCGAGTAGAAGGGGTATAGCCACTGCACCTAAATCATAGGGTTGTCCTAATGTCCTCAAATACATTATGTAAAACACTTAGCTCAGAGCCTAGCACATAGTTACCCAGACTGGTGTGAATGTCCAGACCCTACCTGGGAGAGGGGGCCCTAGCTTATAACTTTAGAACCCTCAATTGCAGTTAGGCATGTTCCAGCTAACACTCCACTTGGAGTGCAGGCTCATCAGGACACCATATGTTTGTAAACTGGCTTCCGAGTCCCAGTCCTGCCAGCTCTTGAGAGTCAGTTCTCTCCTTGTGAACAAATTAGCAGGCTCTGGGCCTATAAGATCAAGGACCACTGTGTCCCCCCACCTTCACCACCAGAGAACTCAACTAAGATAATACTCTGCCAAGGGATGTTTGCCAGTTAGCTTGGAGGCCAACTTTGATCTGATGGACTTTGGCTTTCTCCTACTATTTAAAATGTGTGTTAGGAGAGTAGGGGCAGCAGTGGGCAGGGGTGTACTTTTCCTGACTCTAGCCCAGGACATTTGGTATTTTTGAATAGGCATCATTCAGCCCGGCTTCAGTATTAGGAATAAGATACTCTTTTTATTCCGTCCTCTATGGAGACAAAAAGCGGCTCCTCCTTTGAGCACTGACCTACATTTCCCTCTTCAGCCTCCTCAGGCCAAGGAACTGGACAGGGCAGCAGAACAAGGCTGTCTCCTTAGGATCCTGACAAAGGCACTGCCCTCTCCAACCTGGACCCAGCCCCACTTGCCCTTACTTTTTGCTTACACCTAGAGTGCACCCTCACAGGAAAGGGCTGTGCTGGCTGCAGATGATCATCTTGTCCCGTCTCAACGGGTGTTATCTATCACCATTTCAGTGTCAGTGGTTTTTTATGTGTTTTCTTCCAGGCTTTGATGCTGAGATCTGACTGTCTCTTAATATTTTGTATCCTTTCATGTTTTTCAATGCAACCCTCAATGTCATCATCAAATCTCTTCAGCAGAATGCTGGAGGCCTCCCGCTTCTGAACCTTTACATGCAGAGGTCATCACTGGGCACTGAACAGGTCAGCTGCCTAGGGCAATGTTGGCAGTGTTGTGGCTCATCCTTGATCCTATACCCTTATGGCAAGATTCCTTTCTCTTAGTCAGAGAGCAGATGGGCACATAATCTTGTTCTCCCAGGGACTGCATTCTCAGGAGTCTTTTTCCTGCTCCTTGGGCTCCTCCTTGGGTTAGGGAGGTTTGTCCAAGCCTGTGGACACAGAGCAGTCTGCCACAGGCTGGGCCAACTTTTTTTTTTTTTTTTTTAGAATGCTCTGTCCAGGCTGGAGTGCGGTGGTACAGTCTTGGCTGACTGCAACCTCCACTTCCCAGGTTCACAAGCAATTCTCATGCCTCAGCCTTTCAAGTAGCTGAGACTAACAGGCACATACCAGCTAAATTTTTTTATTTTTAGTAAAGACAGTGTTTCGCCATGTTGGCCAGACCAGTCTCAAACTCCTGGCCTCAAGTCATCCACCTGTCTCAGCCTCAAGTGTAGGGATTAGAGGTGTGAGCCACAGCACCTAGCCTGGACCACCCTTCTCTGAGTCACACTCCAACTGTACTACAGCTGTATCCAAAGGCTTTGTCTCCCAGGGTAACCTGAAGACCTAACTGGGCATACTAGCTGTCTTCAGATTCCTTTCCTTTTTAGATCTTTAGGTCCCATCTCTTTTAGATCAATATCCAGTTGGTCTTGGGATTCGTCCTTTTCCTACCCAGCTCTCATCCTCTTCTAGGCTGTTCCATGGCCTCTTCCACATATTACATTTGTGGTCTTGGGAAAGTTAGAATACTTAGCATCTTGACCAAGGTCACTTGGCCCAACCACAGCCTAATAATCCCATGCCGTGTGCACATGTGCCCTCTCTCTCCAACCTGGACCCACATGTACACATGGCCTGGGATTAGCCTGTGGTTTATCAGTTATTTTGTCTTTTTTTTTGATACAGGGTCTCACTCTGTCACCCTGGCTGGAGTGCAGTGGCGATCATAGCTCACTGCAGCTTCGATCTCCTGGCTCAAGTGATCCTCCCACTTCAGCCTCCTAAGTAGTTGGGACTACCCACATGTACCACCATGCACAGCTAATTTTTTGGGTTTTTTTGGGGTTTTGTGTTTGTTTGTTTAAGTAGAGACGAGGTCTTACTACATTGCCTGGCTGGTCTCAAACTCCTGAGCTCAAGCAATCTTCCCACCTTGTCCTCCTACTAAAGAGTTGAGATTATAGCGTGTGCCACTGTTAGTCTCTTTTGTCAGTCCATCAACCTCTGATATCCTCACACCAGACAGGACAGGGATCTGTATTGAAACTTTATTACAAAATTATAAAGCAGAGCTCTGTAACAAAATAATACACATTTGGGTTTGCTTTAACCTCCAAGTAAGTCTGAGAAAATCTTAATATAAGCCACTTGAAGTAACAATTCACATCCAAGAGATTTCCACAAATTTATACAATGTATATTGAGCACTAATTCCTGTACAGCTTATTCTGATTAGTTTGGATCCAACTATTCCAAGGTATTGTGAACCAGTCAGCTGTCTTTTGAAACAAGTTTTAACTGAAATCTCAGAGCAATCACAGCAAAAGCCACAGAATAATTGTAAGAATTAGATATTTCCATAATAATTAAAACCAAGGATCCATGAAGGGCAGGAGGGAGGATTCAAAGATTTTAAAAAATCAAATTTTAGACCTTGGTTAAATACTAACTGGAATGGGATCTTGGAACTCCCAACTTTTATTTGGTATAATAAAAATGATACCAAAAAAAAATCAGAGTTGTTTGATACCTTTTTTCCTAAATGGAAACCTTCACCAAAATGGGATAAAAGATTTAAAGGCAAGTTCTTTCTCAAAAATGAGTAAATGACCTCAGTTTTAATTCTTACTGAGGTTCCTAACCAGCTATCAGTATATTATTTTCGGTTTGTGTCTAGGAGGGAAACAGGAGGAGGTAAGGCTTCAGCAGAGAAAGCAGTTTGTAAAGAGAGCCAGCTTCTGCCTTTAAGTTGCTACTAGATTTTAACTGAATAGCACATACACAGACCTGTTTCACAGAGAAATTGAGTAGCTGAATGAATTATCCTTTGCTAAATTGGTAGGCATTGTAAACTATAGTATTTACTGCCCATGAGAAAAGTGAAAAGGGATGTCTTTATGAGCAAATCTGATTCCCCCAACTCCTACAACGACTGTGGTTCAGAATCAGATCATGCAGGACTTTTATGATGTTGAAGTAAGTGACCAAGTATGTTCAGTTGACAACTACTTTATGCAGTTACTTCACTCCTCCTAAGGGGTTTAGCAGTTGATGATGGAAGGAAAGCATAAATATGTCTGTACTAATGTAAGAAGTCCCTTTAGAGGTTTCCCTCTGCTATCTAGAATCAGGATTGGTTCTAGTCTTAGATTTTTCAGCTGCATGGGAGGGGTAAAGAGTGGGAGCCATCTGCCAATGAGTTTAGGGTTTGCATAGTTCATCCATTGGTAATGAGAAAACACTCTGCTCTCCTGATAATGTGTTTTGTGCTTGGTCACACTTCTCCAGCACACTCTTAAGCCCTCTAGCTCCTCTAGGGATGTAAAGACTGTGTGGTCTCAAAAACATCACCTACTCATTGTATGGTCCTTCCTAAAGAGCCTAAAAAATGTTTTTTCCTGCTGGGCATGGTGGCTCACGCCTATAATCCCAGCACTTTGGGAGGCTGAGGTGGGCAGATCACCTGGTCAGGAGTTTGAGACCACCCTGGTCAACACAGTGAAACCCCGTCTCTACTAAAAATACAAAAATTAGCCAGGCATCACCGGTGGCAGGCACCTGTAGTCCCAGCTACTCAGGAGGCTGAGGCAGGAAAATTGCTTGAACCCAGGAGGTGGAGGTTGCAATGAGCCAAGGCCATGCCACTGCACTCCAGTCTGGGCGACAGTGAGACTCTGTCTCAAAAAAGAAAAAAAAAAAATGCTTTCCCCTGACCTGCCCCCATAAATCAGTAGGCTAGGAAAGGAAAGTAGGGTCTCCTCACTCCCCACCAACCTGGGAAATAAAGACTTGAACTGTTGGCTCACAACAGAATCCAGTCTCATTCAGTACCTGTTGGAAGCTCTGAGGTAATCTGTCTTACACGTTTGCTCTCCAGGAACTTCAAGAGAAGTCTGGCCAGAGAAGAGCACAGGCTCTTTGCCTAAGTCTCTTCAATGAGACCAAATTTAAAACTACCATGGGTAAGGGATAGATTTCATTTTCAGGGGAAAGTGGTTTAAGACTTCTGCTAGTTGGGAAAAGGCTCAAAAACCAAGCCAAAATTAAGCAGAAGGCCACTGCTTCCACCCAGTGCTTCCCCTTTCTCCATAAACTAGGGATGGTGCAAATCAGGTCCCAAGAGAAGCAGCAACAGAGATTATCCACACACCATCCCTTGCAGACAGAAACTGGAATTTCCCAGCAGTTTGGGAGCCTGATGTTTTGTTGGCTCCCAGGGTCGGGTCAGGAGACCAACAGCTTCCAATCCCAGCATTTAAGGAAGCAGCTCTTAACAATTTGGAAAGTTTTCTATAGCATTCGTGCTTCATTTCTCACCAGAGATAAGTTTACTGGTCTAAATTCTGTCCTAAGGACCACTATCGGTCTGGTAATAACATTTTTGTTCCAGAGAAACAAATGGATTTTAGGCAATGTAGCAAGAGACTTTAGCAAAGATAGTTAAAGCACAGAAAGCTGGAGAGACTAGAAATTTAAATCCAAATGTGCTAAGGAGGAGGATTTCTGATTGATGAAACACATAGGCAAGCATCTCCAGGGGATGGGTTGGGTACAGAAGGAGGGGTGAAACTGTCCAGGTTCAGGGAGGAAGACAGGATCCAGGTTCTGTTAAGTTCTCTGTTCATCCGTTACCATAATCACTCCAAGAGCACTAAATCAAGAACATACCCATGTGATTTGTACAAATTCCCACTGGCCTCAGGCTTTGCCAGCCAAGAGGTACACCCCTGTGGTAAGACAGGCACTCTCAGGGGTGACACGGCATCTTGCTTGCCCTGGTCTTGGGAACACTGCAGTATTTCTTCTATAGCTTACTCTTCTGCAAGCTGGCCAACCCTGAGCCCAGACACCCCAGGCTATTACCCTGTAAGGCACTGAAGAAACCAATGCAAGCCCTCAGGACCGGAAGACATGCACAGCTCGGATTACATACTGCCGGCAGATGGGGCATTCATTCATGCGCTTGCCACACTTGGTACAGGTTACCATATGGCCACACTCCAGCAGAACACAGTCAATGGGTGAGTCCATGCAGATCTTACACAGGTTCTCCTCCAAGCCTGGTGGTACTGTTCCCCCTGTACAAACAGGGCAGAAGAAAAGGGGCAGAGGAGTGAGGAGAATGTCTAAGTGTATAGGGGTGACTGGAGGAGGGAGGTGGGAGATAACAGGTACATTGTGAACAAACTAGTGCACATGCTTCCCTCAAATAGAGCTCCTCCAAGGAAACATTTCCTTAATAACCAACTCTGGTTACTTGTTTAATCCACACCTTCTCCCCTCCAACAGGTATAGATTTTAAAAGTATGGTACTTCTGGATCAGCACCATCCCAGAACATGAGAACTAAGCCAAAGTTCTCAAAACTTAAATTATTTTCAGACAGTTGCTGTAATATAATGATTGAGTGAGTGGCACTTAGAGACTTATTATCCCCTGAGGCAGAACACTGCTAAAAAGATAAAACTGGTTCAGAAAAGCTTAGATAGAAATGGAACTGTGGTGAATGTTTCACTGAGGATCACATGCCTTATCTATAAACATATCCTCCATTTAATAAAATCAAGGATCATGGGGGAGCCCTCTGCTATCTCACAAACTACTCCCAGGCTTCCTCAGGAAACTTCCTGGTGGAGAAGCTTGCAGAGATTATTGCTCCTTCTTTGTTTCCACCCCCACAGAACTTTTTTATACCCCCATGACTGCTTATAACATTGGATTAAAATTTTGAGTTTGCCTACTTACTCCTCCAGTAGACATGAGCTCTTTAATTCAACATATTCAATTTTTACAATTATATGCTTGGCATTTATTCCATGCTCTGAGGTTAGATATTCATCTTTGAAGCCCCCAATGGCAGTCACATGGTAAGTACTCGTTAAATGTCTGATGAATGAACATCTTCCCAAGGGAATGAAAACATCCCACATTTACTGAATGCTTACCATGTGCTAGGCAGGGTTCTGAGAGCTTTGCATGTATTAACTCACTGAAGCCTCACAAAAACTATCAAGTAGGACCAGTAGGACCTCTTGTTACTCTCGTTACTCTTTTATAGATGAAGCCAACTGGGGTAGGAGTTAAGTGGCTTGCACAAGGGCACAAAGCTGCTAAGTTGAGGAGCCAGGATTCAAACCCAGGCAGGCTGGCCCCACAGCTCCTCCTCTAGAATGGCCTTCCACCTAAGTGCCCTAAGAGTAGAAACTATCCAGACGGTACCAACTGCTGATTGCATAGAGTTCTCCATAAATGTTAACTAGCTTGTGTCAGTAGCAGCATATAGTGGGCATGACGAGTATCCTAGTTGAGCTGACCCACAGAAAAAAACGTGTTCAAAAGCCCAGCTATCTCAAACATTTCTTAAATTGCACCCTGAAGTAGGTACCCATAAAAAGGAACTGATCTCATACCAGTCACCTCTATCATCTGGAGCTTAGCCACCCCATAGAGGAATTCTCCCTTATTGCATCTATACTTTCTCTTTTCTGGACTATTCAATAAGTCAAGAAATACTTCCCCCTAGGAGGTAGGCTGAATGTGAAAGGGAGTGAAACCTTTTTGCTGTTGGCCCTAACAGGGAAGGTTTGCAGATTATACAAATACCTAAGATGAGTGGGAATAATTTATAGATTTTTTTCAATTGTTCTCCCAGGAATAACAATAAACACATTAACTCAGTTGTCAGCACTCTCCCAGAGAATCAGAAAAAGAAAGGAAAGCACCAAGTAGCTCAGCCTAATCTTGATACCAGGGGAGGATGGGGTAGGTCTGGTTTTGGGGAACTGAGAAAAAGCTCAACTGTTTTTTAAGTCTGATGAGAAATAATCAGACATAAAACTCTGCCCATTCTGAGCAAAAGGCCATTTTATTAAATAAATTTGGGAAGTCTTCCAAAATAGTTTTAAAATGCTTTGCAGGCTACTACTACTACTACGACTACCACTACTACCAATACTACTACTCTAAGAACATTCTCTCTTGGGAGGGAGTTCCTAAGCTTTTAAAAATGCATAGGATATTTTAGAATGTTCTTGCAGAGGGTCAGGAGTTCTGTAATGTGTTCTGGAAGTACCTGAAGGCCCAGTGGTGGTCTTTGGTGAATGGCGGCCAAGGTGAGCTACATAGCTTGTGCCCAGAGAGTAAAGCATATGTTAGCTCCAGAGTAGCTCTAACCATTACCAGCCCTGCACAAATAGGGCTGTCACCACCCTTTCTTTTTGGTTAGTACCAGAAGCTGGTAAACATCCTGATTCCCCAGAAGGTGCACAAAGAGACCCTCCCTACCCAGACCAGAACTAACACACCAGGATTTTAAAAAATGAACTGAGTGTGATACATGCCACCCCTTCTCTGTTTCAGTGTGTTACAAATGTTGGCTTCTGAGCTCTGGCAGCCCAGGGACATGCACATCAGTCCTAGGTATGCTCCACTCTGCTTCCTGCACAGGGAGCAGAGAGAATTTCTAAAGACAGTGAGAGGCCCCCTGTTCTCAGTGAATTTCCCACACACCCTCTCCCTGAAGGCTCAAATGCTCAGAATTCTTAAACTGCTAAGGGACTGAGGTTGAAGGAGGGGAAGGACAAAAGAGCCTAACCCCATTCCCAAACAGAAACAACTACATACCGTTTTGGTCTTCAGCACCACCGACTGAAAAGGAAAGAGAAGGATGTCTGAATAAGTGATGGCACCATGGTACCAGCAAAGTCTCTTACTGCCCTGACATCATTTCTGAACTCTTAACCACTCTCTGCTGGGACCAGTCTTGCCAAGAGACTAAACGGACATCTGCCCTCTTCACTCACTACATGCTTAGAACTCACACAAAGCTCCTACTGGTGTATCTGGTCTACTCTTTTTTCTTTTATTTTGAGAAGGAGCCCTACTCTGTTGCCCAGGCTGGAGTGCAGTGGCACGATCTTGGCTCAGTACAACCTCTGCCTCCCCGATTCAAGTGATTCTCCTGCCTCAGACTCCCAAGTAGCTGGAGACTACAGGCACATGCCACCACTCCTGGCTAATTTTTTTTCTTATTGGGGGAGACAGGGTTTCACCATGTTGGCCAGGGCTGGTCTTGAACTCCTGATGTCAAGTGATCTGCCCACCTCAGCCTCCCAGAGTGCTGGGATTATAGGCATGAGCCACCGCGCCTGGGCTGATCTACTTTTAAAAAAAGGTATTCCACTAGTTGGCACAAACAAACTGTCAAGTAGAAGGATACTGTATATGCACAATATCCTTTTCTATTGCTTTTGAAGCCAGCATTAAAGTGAAGAAAGAATGAACAATCTAGCTATTTCAGTCAGGCAGGGAGTCTGGATAAAGTTCCCATGTGAGTCATCTGTTCTGTTCCCCAGGTCCTAACAACTTGTGAGAGGACTCTTGTTAGCTTGGAAATAATCCCAAAGGGAAAACAGACTCCACATCAGTAGGCCTCCATCTGTAATCAGGTGAATAGTCAGTCAGATGTTCCCTAACACTGATGAATTTGAGCTACTGGTAGAGGAGAGCCTGAAATCGGACTTCAGCCACCCTTACCATGCAAGAAATCAGTATGTTGCTCTGTGGGAAGTAAATCAGTTGGGGAGGGGAAGAAAGGATTCTGTGGTGAAATAATTTCAGGAAACACCAAGTTCAAAACAGCCAAAACACATTTCTCTTCTGCAGGACTTCTCTGCCTTTAATATAAAAATCCACCATAAATCAGTAATGAAGATACAGTATGAGGTATTTTTCCCTAAACTCATTTAACCACAGACCCAGATATTTTCCTGGGCATCTCCTGAAAATGATACAGTAAAAAATGCTTTGGGAAATGAACAAAAGGAAAAGCCCAAGTGCAGATGGAACAGATATCTTCTACTATGTATGTAGATTCACTTTCTACCTCCCAAATCTTTAGAACAAGCATTCTTATTCTAAGGTAAGAAAACTTAAAAGGTGGTAGTTAGAGTATGGAGGGGATACCATATGGTAAGAAAGGCTATGGACTTAGACCAGAAAATTCTCAGTTAAAATCTGGGCTCCATAATAAAAGGGTGATGCTAATAATGCCTATTTCATAGGTTGCTCTAAGGAATAAACAGATATATGCAATGCCAAATCCAGTTTTGACATCAACTACAAATGACAGCTATCATTAGATGGTGCGAATAAGTAAGGTGTCTCCTTCTATGGCTAAAAGTGTGGAAACTGAGTCAGATCAATGCCATCATGCTTTGGAGTGACAGCAAACACTCCTGAGCTCTGTACAGCTACCACACAGACAACCACTCACCCAGGTGCTGGAGTCCTTTCTGATCCTTGTACAGCCGGGTCACTCTCTCCATCAGCTCCCACTTCTCACAGCAGCCCTTGTAGTTGACAAAGTTGCGAGCCAAGATCTCTTTCAGCTGTCGTACTGTCAGGCCTTCAATGTCCTCCAGGTCAGTCAGGTCAGAAAGAGAGGCCCTTCGGCCTGGGATGAAGCTGTCTTCTGAGTCAATAGACTGCAATGGCAAAGATGAGATCAATGTGCTCAGCTCTGACCTCCCCAGGCTCTTTCTCCAAGGACCCCAAAGCACTCACCACACCATAATTTTGGTGATTGACCTCATGAAGGGTAGGAACAGAGACAGGATGACTACCTGGCATGGTGCTCTGCATTGCAAAATATACTAGAATCTCTTCCTGATCCATGATTCTGTGCCCAGGAGCAGACACAGACCAACCATCAGTGTGATACAGCAGTAGATAGAAGTATAGTAGGAGCACCAGTTTGAGTCATATGACCCTAATTTTGAATCCCCAACTCATCAGCTGGTTAATGCTAAATAATTACCAGCAAGTTGCTTACCACTCTGAGCCTGTTTGCCTCCCATAAAGGAGAGAGAGCAGTCCTACCCCACAGGGGTCCTGTGGAGGTTAAATGTAGCCGCACATGAAACCCAGCATAGTGCTGGCCCTTCTCACCTAGAGACTTCTGTTTGCCCACAAGAGGCACATTTTTCTGGTAAGCACTCCTCTATACACAATACCTTGGCCACAGCTCCCTGGCCTCAATGTCTGTGCTCTGGACTGGCCCTGCCTGGCTAATTGTCTGACCTCCTTCCCTTGACAATGGCTATAATGTGCTAGAAGCAGGAGAAAAGAACAAGATTTTCACAGCAGCACTCTAAGCCTGCCCTCTGGCAGCTCCTAGAGAGTCAAGAGACTGGAAATACAATGGGCCATGAGGCTTCTCAGTCTCCACTATGACCTCACAACTGACGGCTTCACAAGCTAATCTGAAACACTAACACTAAACTCCACCCCCAAAACACAATTTCAGAAGCACTATCATCATACACTTATTCTCTCTCCACCCGAGTCTGCTAAGAGGTTCCTAAGAACACCAGTGAAAGAGCAAAGGGGAAGGCACAGACCCGAGCAGAGGCCCCACCTGGGTCTCATCCTCAGCAGGTGCTCTGGCCACACTCTCCAGGTAGACGGGTTCCTCTTGATCCTGAGACACATGGCCATTGGCCTGTGGGGAGAGAAGAGTAACATCACATCCAGAGATGTCCCAGAGATCTGCATAGTATGGGCCTTTTTTCAACTCACACAATGTCCAGAATGTATTCCCATCTCGCCCAGAAATCTGGAGCCTCTCACAGCATCATCACAAAAGCCTGCTGTCTCATAGCAACTTTGTCAAGCAGAGAAACGCACAAATAGATTTCAACAGACAAAGCTGCCCTCTAGAACAAAACTGCATTAACTCTGCACACACCAGGATGGCAGTGGCCACCACTCACCACCAATTTAATCTCAGCTTGAGCACTGCAGGGGAAGAGAAGGTCACTGTGTCCATTCCACTGCTGGACTGCTCTCTATCTGACTTCAAAGTTTTTCTTGACACTGATCCAAGATTGCCATCCCTATCCCTGGTTCTGCCCCTCAGACCACAGTCTACTGTTTTTTTCCCCCAAACTGTTTAAACCATATTTTCCCCTCCTTCACACTAAATCTCCCTGGCTTCCTTATCTGACACTGATGAGACCAAGTTTCCAGACCATCACCACCCTCGTCTCTCTCTTTTCTCCCTACTAACTACTCTCACATTCTGAAAATGTGCTCCCCATGTTGAGCACACCATTACTAAGAGCTGTGTCCAGACCTAGTCAAAAAGTATTTTAATGTATATATGAATCTATCAGCCTAAGACTATATAAAACAATGCTGCTGGGCACAGTGGCTCACTCCTGTAATCCCAGCACTTTGGGAGGCTGAGGCAGCCAGATCATGAGGTCAGGAGTTCGAGACCAGCCTGACCAACATGGTGAAACCCCGTCTCTACTAAAAATACAAAAATTAGCCAGATGTAGTGGCACATGCCTGTAATCCCAGCTACTAGGGAGGCTGAGGCAGGAGAATCACTTGAATCTGGGAGGCAGAGATTGCCAAGAGCCAAGATCATGCCATTGCCCTCAGCCTGGGAAACAAGCATGAAACTCCATCTCAAAAAAAAAAAAAAAAAAAGACAATGTAATGCCTATGCTTATATTTATTCTGCTTAGAATACTCACGTCTCAAAAGGTTTCTGCTGAGTACTCTTTTAGGAGGTTTGGCCAAAGAGTAGTCGGAACTGCGAGCCTCCTAATTCCATCACCATTTAAGCCACAAACCCCTTAAGTAGATCCTCTTACCCACTGCTCCCTCCAGGCAAAGGGCCTGGTGTGAGCTCAGAGCAAAGAGGTGTCTGAGTTCACAGGCCTTTTCCACCAGATTCTGGGGATGCCAGTGAAGGGACAATTTGGGAAACCAAAGTCACCCACTGACCTCAGCCATTCATCCCACATTAGGATGCATAATATGGAGCTAAACAAGAAGAGGCAAACAATTGCAATGGAAACGAAAAGTAGAAATAACAAAATGCCAAGTGAAGGCAAGATCAAATACATAACACATATGTGTGGAGATGCATCCAAATCAATGTCTTCATCAACAATGTTTTCTCTTAGCTTACTCTAGATCCTCAGTGGTCTCTCAGATAGTATCACCTTGGAATTACTCTGGAATCCTTCAGAGCCTAACCTGTTCCTAAGTAGATATCTTTCAGATGTCCTGTTTCCTAGAAAGAGAAACCACCTCATGTTGCAATGTAAGCTCTTGTCTTTCCAGTTTGCCCACTGGCCAAATCAAACTCCAAAACTAGTACCTGTCCACAGTTGTGCTTATTGTACATACTTTCTTGCCTGGCAACTATTGATTGCCAAGGCACTAAAGGTAAAAAAGAAAGAACCCTGGTTGAACAAGTATTATAAGGAAATTTACATTCTAGGTGCAGATCACTTGTGAGCTTGTCAGATAACACTGCATAAGTTACTTAATTCTTCCATACCTGTTTTTCCTACTTGCAAAGTGCAGGTCTCATCAGAACAGGGCATGTGAGCAGACATTAAGGTATCATGAAAATCCTGGCGGGAAAGTACCCAATTTGATCTTGTATATAGGGTGACCTTTAGTGCAATCTGGAAATTTCTGGTTAATGACAAAGGAAGTTTATAATCCTTTTTTTTTTTTTTTGAGATGGAGTTTTGCTCTTGTTGCCCAGGCTGGAGTGCAATGGCGCAATCTTAGCTCACTGCAGCCTCCGTCTCCCAGGTTCAAGTGATTCTCCTGCCTCAGCCTCTTGAGTAGCTGGGATTACAGGCATGCACCACCACACCTAGCTAATTTTGTATTTTTTTTAGTAGAGATGGGGTTTCTCCATGTTGGTCAGGCTGGTCTCGAACTCCCGACCTCAGTGATCTGCCTGCTTCGGCCTCCCAAAGTGCTGGGATTACAGGTGTGAGCCATTGTGCCCAGCCTTTTTATTTATTTATTTTTGACATGGAGTCTCGCTCTGTCACCGGGCTGCAGTGGCAGATCTCGGCTCACTGCAACCTCCACCTCCTGGGTTCAAGTGATTCTTCTGCCTCAGCCTCCTGGAGTAGCTGGGACTACAGGCCTGCGCTATAACACCAAGCTAATTTTTGTATTGTCTCTACTAAAAGTAGAGACAGGGTTTCACCATGTTGGCCAGGATGGTCTTGATCTCTTGACTTCGTGATGGATCCATCCTCCTTGGCCTCCCAAAGTGCTAGGATTTACAGGTGTGAGCCGGCCAGTTTATAATCTTTCACTGAAAATATCTATCTAAAGGTTTGGTTGGTTTTTCTGTTTTTGTTTTCTGAGACAGACTCTCACTCTGTTGCCCAGGCTGGAGTATAGTAGCTTGATCATTGCTCACTGCTCACTGTAGCACTGACCTCCCAGGCTTAAATGATTCTCCCACCTCAGCCTCTTGAGTAGCTACAGGTGCCCACCACCACACTCAGCTAATTTTTATATTTTTTATAGAGACAAGGTTTTGCCATGTTGCCAGGCTGGTCTCAAATTCCTGGGCTCAAACTATCTGCCTGCCTCAGCCTCCCAAAGTGCTGAGATTACAAGCATGACCCACCATGCCCAGCCAAGGTTCTTTATGGAAAAAGAATTCCTCAGATTATTCTGACTCCTTATACATAGAGTGCTCCAAAAAAACAAGCAAACAGAAGAATGTATTAGAGCTTAGGGAAGAGTTAAAGTCCAGCTGCAGAGAAAAACATGCTCAGGCCAAAGAGGGAGCTAAATGATTTTACTGCAGTTAAATTATGCTATCACATTGGCCTTTATGCCTCAGTGCTTGTCTAGAGCTGAATCGGGGGCTAAGTCCTGGCAAAGGAGGTGGTCATAAACAAGCGGCGGCAGCCATCCACATCATGTGTGGGAACTGACAGCACTAGCACTATACCAGCTCTAAGTAGCTTGGAGCTCTTTTAAACATGGTATCACACATTCAGGTCTCGACATCCTGGCAAGATCAAAAGTAGTCTGTGATTACTAACCCCATTTCCTTGTCATAGGCTCAACATTTGCCCAGGGTGACCAAGAAGTCAGTGACAAAAGAGGATGTGGAAATTGGATCCTGTAGTTCCTAATTCCCCCATATTGTCCAAGCCCTTTAGATCAAGGGTCCCCAACCCCTGGGCCATAGACTGGTACTGGTCCATGGCCTGATAGGAACCCAGATGCACAGCAGGAGATGAGTGGCTGGCAAGCGAGCATTACCACCTGAGCTCCGCCTCCTGTCAGCGGTGGCATTAGATTCTCGTAGGAGTGTGAACCCTGTTGTGAAGTGGGCATGCAAGGGATCTAGGTTGCATGCTCCTTATGAAAATCTAATGCCTGATGATCTGAGGTGGAACAGTTTCATCCCAAAACTAACCTACCCCAGTCTGTGGAAAAACTGTCTTCCACGAAACCGGTCCCTGCTGCCAAAAAGGTTGGGGACACCGCTATAAATAACAGGGTCACTAAGGCACTTGTGCAACATCACCACTTCTTGTGCAATGGTTATGTCCACCGGCCTCACTCTAATCCAGTAGTTCGTTGGTCTGCATGTCTACCTTCCCTTCTCTGGGGGCTTTTTGAGGACACAGACAGTGTATTACTTATTTCTGTACTCCCCAGGCCTGGGTCATGATTCAGTATGTGCTGCTCTTAGCTTACCGCTTCCAAGCCCCCAGGATAATGAAGAAGCCACTTACAAGTACAGCATGCCAACTACTGCTGCTCCCAGACAGCGACCAATAAGAGAAATAGTGTCTCTGTCTGTTTCCCCATCCTCCCTTCCCTCCACATAGCCCTTTGCTTTCCTATATTCCTTGTGATGGTTACTAAGTAACTAAGTTCCCAATCCAGCCAAGGAAGACCAAAACAAAGGAGTTAAGTTGGAGGACAAATTGGAACAGAACTAAATTTGAAGGCTTAATGGTTATTTTTCTCAAAATATTTCTGGAATGATGAACTTTAAAAAATGTCTAACTAGGATAGTTGTGTATTAAAAAAAAATTGGTACTGTGCATATAACCTCTGAAGAAAGCCAAAACATGAGTCTGATATCCAGAAAACACTACTCGTGCACCAATAGTCAGAAAGGCTTCATGTGATCAAGACACTTAGCCTTATACCCCATCCCCACAATGCAGGCAGGAGAGGAAAATGAAAATGAGCCCTCAAACTGGCACAGACTAGGGGAGACTACAAATGGGCCCTTACCTGTTGATTCTCCTGAACCTGGACTGAAGGAACAGAGATGGTTTGTGCAGATGAAGAGGGAAGGTTGGGTGAGGTAGGTGGAACCGTGCTGGAGTGAGGCTGGGTCAGGAAGGCCTGCTCCTCGGGAAAGTCTGGGGACAAGGTGGGGGCATGAGTCCTGCCCTCCTGGGAGATAATTATAGGCTGCTGGCCAAGCACCAAGAGCACCAGCTCTTCTTTCTCCCGGCACATTTCAGTAGAGATGTCATGGAGGCTGAGATAGTCCCTCAAGTCCTTCACCTTCATCTTCATGAGCTCCTCTCGCTGAAAGGCTGTAGCTCGAAACCGTTGGCAGAGAAGGCAGAGGCGGGGCCCATTCCCCACTTGGCTTGAACAGGTCATGCAGAAATGTTTCTTACAGTCCAAGCAGGTCTGCTGCTTAGAGCAAGAGACACAGGAAACCATGTCAGATTGACAGAACAAGACAGAGGATGGGATGGGAGCTTCAGAAGTGCCAAGGCCAGCAGGATCACTCTTACTTTTACTAAGCTCTCTCTCATATCTAAGGGTGTAAGCCACTTTCACATTTTAAATTAAAAGCCACTCAGGGGTGGCAGACCTCCAGTGTGTACTGTGTATATCCATGTACAGGACACTTCACATTTATTATTTAATTTGAGGCTTACTTTATTTATTCATGAAGAACCTGAGGTATTAATCAAGACTACCAGCTTTAGAATCAAAAAGCTCTGCATTTTTATTAAGTCTCCCTCCCTCATTTCTTGCAATGTCACCTTGGGTATGTAATTTAGCCTCTCTGGTGCTCAGTTTCCACATCTGTAAAATGTGGGTGATAACAGATTCTACCTCATGGGATTGTTGTGAAGATTGAGAGAGAATGCATTTAGCATATCTGACACATAATGAGTCCTCAACAAATGTTAGCTGTGTTAATTTTTCTTTTTTTTTTTTGAGACAGAGTTTCACTCTTGTTGTCCAGGCTGGAGTGCAGTGGAAGGATCTCGGCTCACCACAACCACCGCCTCCTGGGTTCAAGTGATTCTCCTGCTTCAGCCTCCCGAGTAGCTGGGATTATAGGCATGTGCCACCACGCCCTGCTAATTTTGTATTTTTAGTAGAGATGGGGTTTCTCCACATTTGTCAGGCTGGTCTCGAACTCCTGGCCTCAGATGATCCGCCCACCTTGGCCTCCCAAAGTGCTGGGATGAGCCACCGCGCCTGGCCTTCAAATCTTAAACTATAATTATGTCTTCATGACGGTTATGGTGGTGGTGGTTATTACAATTAATATTAGTATTAATTTATTGAGGTACTTTTATGTGCTAGCTTGTCATTTAATTCTCAAAGTGACACTGCAAAGCTGAGGCTTAGGGAGATCAACTATTGTATTCAAGGTCAGGCAATAAACAGGAGAGCTGAGATTCATACTCAAGGTCTGTCAGAGGCTAATGCCCATGATCACATTCTTTCCACCAGGCCATGCTGCATAGCTCAGTCCCATTCAAGCACAGAGCATTTCAGAGTCAAGGACCTGGCTTCTCTTCTCCAAACTTCCCACCCACTGCCCTATGGACACAGGCTCCCCACTCCAGAAAGGCCCACTCAGAGTGCTGGGAACTCAGTGGTGCTTATGACCATATCCAAGACAAATATTTAGACAGTGACGGGAGGCACTCTGGATATCAGGGCACTCTCGTTCCTGAAAGCACAGAGTGTCTCAGGCTACAAGATCGCCTGACAGGCAAGCTGGTACTGCCTGGCAGCAGCTACTCTGACTGTCACTGACAACACAGGAAGGCTACTCAGCCCACAGGAAGCAATCCTCGGCCTCTCACCCCACAGGCTGAGTGAGCACAGTGACATCTGGCTGAGCTCTGTTCTGGCCAAAAGCATGTCACAGCCCCAATAAGAGGCAATTCCTGAGCACACTGGGATTGGCGTCGAGGGCACCCTCACTAATCCTTTAAAGAAGTTAAAAACTTTTTATCCTGTGGTGACTTAAGTAGTAACTTAAATATTTCTTCTCCTCCTTTTCTAAATATAGAAAGCTGTTCAAGCTAAAAAAAGAATGCTCAAGAGACAAGATTCTCATAGTTGAGATCACAGACACTCTTGTGTGGGGTTGAAGTAAATGTCTGCACAGTTAAGATAATAAGTTTTGTCTAAGTATCATTCATATAGTAAAGGGAAAAAGAAATAATATTTACCATCCAGTTTTGGCTCTTAAGACTTAGAAGGCATTTCAAAGGGACACAGATCAAGCTCCCTAATTCTCCACACAGTTATAACCAAACAATACACTGTTCAGAGATGGACTTAAAAGGATGCATGGCAGCACCAGCATTGTAACGGTTCTGGGACCAGTCACCACACAGGCAGAAAATGGATGCTTTTGGATATTTGGGGTTCATTCACATCTAAAACTTTTCTATTGAGAAATGAAGTGTGCTTAGGATGACTGAGACTGAAACAAAGAGCGTTCAATGCCATAAACCTGTGGGCCTGACATGGAACATTACTTAAGTCGATACAATTTGACAAGACCTAACTCGACATAATTATAAAGCCTGCGTTGCTCAATCAGCCAGATCCAAACAACTCTCTATTCTTTTTCTTCAAATGTGTGTGGCTTATTGGGTGCAAGATCAGAATGCAAAGACAGCAACCTAACTTCTATGCACTCACTGGCTCATGGGGGACTCTGAAATAAGCTGGCCATCTGAAACATACCCTATAGGAACAGGACAGGGCTTGAGGCTAAAATCCCAGTTTGCAGTGGCAGGAGAGAACAGAAGGAAAGGAAAAAAGGGCTGTCTACAAATGCAGGCAGAATGAGCAAAGGACATGCTTATGTATAAATTCTAGCAAATGAGCCAGGCACAGTGGCTCACACCTGTAATCCCAGCACTTTCGGAGGCTGAGGCAGGTGCATCACCTGACGTCAGGAGTCCAAGACCAGCCTGATCAACATGGTGAAATCCTGTCTCTATAAAGTACAAAAATTAGCCTAGTGTGGTAGCGTGCACCTGTAATCCCAGCTCCTCGGGAGGCTGAGTCAGGAGAATCACTTAAACCTGGGAGGCTCAGGTTGCAATGAGCCGAGATCACACATTTGCATTCCAGCCTGGGCAACAGAGTGAGACTCCATCTCAAAAAAATAAATAAATAAAAATAAAATTAATTAATTCTAGTGAATGGTTCAAAACAACTGAGTAACCAGGTAGCATGAAACATGAATTAGTGGAGGCAACTAATGTGCCTGCAGAAATGCCCAGCATGCTCTCAGATATCCAGCATCACAGAACTGGCCATGGCACCTCAAGTGGGCACCACCGCCCTTCAGGAATGCTGTGTGCAGGGCTCTGCTGGCTCCCGTTTGCCAACTGCCCTTCCCTTACTCCTACTCCTCCTCCCATCCCTATTTCCTGTAACATGGGAAGTAGTACATGAGAGAATGTATATAAAACCTTAGCACAAGGTGGATGCTCTAGAAAAGGTAACACAGTCACCTTTTATTTCCTTTCCCCTTTTACCAGCACCTAAGATCCAGTCCTCTCTTTCCACTCTGAGATCTGAATATCACCTTCCATGGCTCCAAGCACAACCTCCTCCTCCAAGTGGTCCAACTAAAGAGGCTGGGTGCCAGACTCCCTCCAAAATTGTCAGGGTCATTGCTAAACCACAGATAGGTATTAACAATAGAGATGGGATATTTGGCTTGTGGCAAAATTACAGCCTGCCATTTCTCTTTAGGACTGAAAACTCAGGGAACATAAGAGCCACATCTTACTTATGTTCTCTCTATAAAGTTCTAAATGCTTTCTCTATAAAGTCCTGTGCTTTGCACCCGATGAGCATTCAGAAAAGACTGACCATAATGAAGAAAAAGGAAAAGAAAAAGAAGGATCCATGTAATCATTTCAATTCAAGCACTTCTAGAAAAGACATTTTGAAAGCCCCTGGCTGTTAAATGCCAAACCCTTAAGATAAGAATGCTGATCCACTTAAGCATGAAATTGCAAATGAAAAATTCTCATAGATGAAAACACCCTTAATATTCACAAAATTCACTGTAAATTGCACAAAATTAATTCCTACTTTTATAGCAAGAAAATATTGTACCAATAACCATTTTTTACTCCAAACTGTAATTTTTCTTCCCCCCATAGCAGCTCTTCTTGTTACACATACTTTTGTTACACCGTATGGTGTAACATCGTCCCCACCTCCCTGTCTGACCGCCAGCTCCCTGTTAAGCAGGGATGACCTTTTTCATCTCTGCCTCCCTAGCCCAGGCAATACCTGACACACAGTAGATATTCAGTAATTCATTTCCAATGAATAAGAACAAAAGCACCTTATTTTAATCATTGCCATGCTTCTGTACTCGGGTCTATACTGTCATCTTCTACTCGACATGCCGAATGTGTTTTGGGGAGGGGGCTTTGGAATCAAGGTCCTGGGTTTGAATCCCAGCTCTGTCATTTAATAACTATGTGATCATGAGCATTACTGACGTCAAGGGAAAAGAATGAGTATTTTAATATCTCTCGTGCTATTTGTCAGGAACTTAACACATTCAGAGTTCTTATTAATGTTAAACCCTAAGCTTTAGTTTCTCATATGTAAGATGGGAGTTGGGAGAGTCTAAAAGTTATATCATAGCTATTGTGAGGATTAAATGAAATTTAAAAATCTAAATTCCTTAAACAGTCCTTTGCACATAGCAGATGGTTTAAAAGTATGATTTTCTCTCAAATTTCCCACAATCACCATTTTAACATCATATCCTATCACCCACTCTAGGCTGCAAACCTCTCATTCTGCAGAAAAATGCAGAATGCTGGAGTTCTTTATCCAGGTCAGGGTTTACCTTCTGCCCTAGTCATGCTTGACCACAGATAATTCTGTGGAAGAGGAAGAGGAAGGTGCACATCCAGACACCATTATCCAGCCAGTAATTTTACTTCCAGCTCATTCATCTGGGAAGCATGGCTCCCAAGCATTTCAAATGAAATCTGCTAGAGTAAATAAGTTCCAGACTTTGTTATGGTCTTAATGTACCTGAGGCATCCTTGACATTGTTTTTCATAAAAAGAACAAGTTAATCTTCAGTCAGACGTTTGTGATGGTAGCTAATGAAGAAAATAACATTCTAAGCATCGTGCTAGGCACCCTTCATGGCTTTCTTGTCTCCCTTTATTCTCACAACACTGAAAGATGAAGACTACTATCATCCCAACTTTATAACAGGGAAACTGAATCTCAAGAGAGGTTAAATCATACAGCTAGTCGGTAGCAAAGCTGACAAGTGAATTCAGATCTAATGACTCCAAATCTATGCTGAGATGCTTTGCTTTTGCTTGGTTAGTTCTTCTTGAACATTTTTGTGAAAGGGACATGTCTAGGTCTGGGTCACCATCATTATACAGGGAAAGGCAAGGTGGCAAGCATTCATAGAAGGGTCAGCAGTGCTTGCCCATGGTCCAGAGGCTACAGTGGCAGAGCAGGCCAATAAGTCAGCACTCACCTTCCTGGCTGTGTTTGCAAAGTGAGCCCCACAGGACTTGCAGCTTGGTTCCGAGCCTGTTGGGGAAGGGAAGGAGCTGTACCCAGGGTTGGAATAGGCCTGCATCCTGGCTCCCTGGGGTGGTGGGACCTCCTCAGGCTGTCCATCCAGGCAGAACCAGTTGCAGCAGGTTGCCCACATGATAAAATCTGGTGCAAGGGAGGAAAGGAGAAAAGTTCAGAGTTAAGACATGCCTCTACTGACCTTTCAGTGTCCGAGAGCACAGGTGAGCAATAATACTCAATCCACACATGCCACCAGGGTAGAGGGGAGGATGTGTTTTCAGAGACCACAGTTTTCTTACGCCTCCCTCTCCACCACAGTTCTTGTCCCACATAAGAGGTAAGCATAGACACCTCATCTGCCAGAACAAGATGGGCTGTCAAGCTGGCACTCCACCTTTCAAAGACAGCTGAACCTTGATTGGGTTTAATCTGAGATCTAACTTCAAATAAAACCTTTTCTTACCTTAGCAATTACAATTGGCTTAACACCCGCTTCATTGTTCAGAGAGACAGAACTTTATCGTACACACTGGGATACATACTCACAATGACTGTGGGGAAGACTATTATTATTATTTTTTTTTTTTTTTTTTTAGATGAAGTTTCACTCTTTTTGCCCAGGCTGGAATGCAATGGCAAGATCTCAGCTCACGGCAACCTCCGCCTCCCGGGTTCAAGTGATTCTCCTGCCTCAGCCTTCAGAGTAGCTGGGATTACAGGCATGTGCCACCATGCCCAGCTAATTTTCTATTTTTAGTAGAGATGGGGGTTTCTCCATGTTGGTCAGGCTGGTCTCAAACTCCCAATCTTAGGTGATCTGCCCACATTGGCCTCCCAAAGTTCAAGGATTACAGGTGTGAGCCAATGCACCCGGCCAAGACTATTAATTGCTTTATATAAATGATGCAACCCAGGCTCAAAGAAATCAAATACATAGCTAATATACAGAGAACTAATATACAGAGTTGAGATTCTATAAACCCAGGTTTGCTGACTCCAAACCTAACATCCTTTTCCCTATACTACGTTGCTCCTTCATTGATTTCCCCTCCTGCCAGCCAGCAAAACTACTCTTACATTTGTACCCCCAATCCCAGATAAACTTCTATCACAGCACATATCATACTTTCTTGCACTGATATATCTTGCCCTTTATTTTCTACTATTAACCTATAAATTACTCCAGGGCAGGGGATATTTATTCATTAGGTACAGTACTGTTCCCTAGCACTGTTGTCCACATAGCAGAAACTTAACAAATATTTGCTTTCTTGCTGAACCAGAGCCTCTGTAGGTTTATTAAGAATTGTTGGGCTGGGCATGGTGGCTCATGCCTGTAATCCCAGCACTCTGGGAGGCCGAGGAGAGATCACTTGAGGCCAGGAGTTCCAGACCAGTCAGGCCGATGGTTAGAGATGGTGAAACCCATCTCTACTAAAAACATAAAAATTAGCCAGGCATGTTGGCAGGCACCTGTAATCCCAGCTACTCGGGAGGCTGAAGCTGGAGAATCGCTTGAATCCAGGAGGTGGAGGTCGCAGTGACTGGAGATGGTGCCATTGCAATCTGGCCTGGGTGACAAGAGTGAAACTCCATCTCAAAAAAAAAAAAAGAAGTGTTGGCCAGGTGTGGTGGCTCATGCCTATAATCCCAGCACTTTGGAAAGCCAAGGTGGGAGGATCACTTGAGTTCAGGAGTTCAAGACCGGTCTGGCCAAAATGGCAAGATCCCATCTCTACAAAAATTAGCCAGGTGTGGTGGTACACACCTGTAGTTCCAGCAACTCAGAAAGCTAAAGTGAGAAGATCACTTAAGCCTGAGAGGCAGAGGTGGCAATGAGCTGAGATCATGCCACTGCACCGCTGCACTCCAGCCTGGGTAACAGAGTGAGACCCTATCTGAAAAAAAAAAATGTTGGTTTATTACTCTCATTTTACATATCAAATGCAGGTATTAGGGACAAAGGACTGATGATTTTTATGATCACAAAACAAAGAGGATCTGGAGCCAATCCCTCAAATGTCCGAATAACCTAACAATTGTAAGAATAACCACTCAAATGCCAAGCACTGAGGTGAGATATTAACAGATTAACACCTATGTTTTTCTCAGTAGACTAAAACAGCCAATGTAGACATTTTGAGCCTGAACTCTTTACTTACAAAGATAATAAATGAAACATTTAATGTTATTATTTGATAATCAGTTCATACAATAGAATGCTTCGCTCTGTCTCCTGACTCATTGTTTTAACAAAGGCACTTTCATAAGCTGGAAGGAAATAAGAGGCCAACTGATCAAACTGAGTCATTTTATAGAGGAAAAAAGAATGAGCACCAGCAAGGGGAATTAACTTCCTGGGTCATATAGCTCATAACCTTAGGCCTCTTCACTTCTCTAGGTCCTTTTTAGCTTTCCAACACTGCCTCCAATGCACCTGTGATATAATTCATTCTCCTCTGCAGGGGTCCCTGATTAACACCTGTCTCCCCAACTTGCCCGTGACCCCCACAACAACAGGGATTGTGAGAGCCTTACAGCACCCAGTTAGACAGGCAGCTCAACAAGAACTATCAAATGAATGGGTCATATACAATATCTAAGGTTTTCTGTTCGTTTGTTTTGAGACAGAATTTCACCCAGGCTATAGTGGCACAATCTCAGCTTACTGCAACCTCCGCCTCCCAGGTTCAAGTGATTCTCCTGCCTCAGACTCCTAAGTAGCTGGGACTACAGGCGCCTGCTACCACGCCCAGCTAATTTTTTGTATGTTTGGTAGAGACGGGATTTTACCACGTTAGCCAGGATGGTCTCGATCTCCTGATCTTGCGATGCACCCGCCTTGGCCTCCCAAAGTGCTGGGATTATAGGCATGAGCCATCACACCCAGCCACACATATGTTCAATCTTCAGGACACCAAAAACATTTCTCTCTGACACCATATAAGTTATCTGAGGTTTCTAAGTTCCCAGAAGAGAAGGACCTAATCTGCCTTTACTTGCAATTAACAGTTCACATGGAATAATGAAGGTTCTTCCCAGTGTGTATATGATAAAGTAAATGATTTCTTTGTTGGCAAGAGACTGGGGACAACAGAAGAGGAACAGAAGAGGAGTAGCCCTCTGAAATAGAAATTTAGTGATTTGCTTTTTTAAGACGGGGGTCTCTGTCACTCAGGCTGGAATAGAGTGGCATGATCTCAGCTCACCCTGGGTTCAAGTGATTCTCCTGCCTAAGCTTCCTGAGGAGCTGGGATTACAAGAGCACTTCATCATATCCAGCTAATTTTTGAATTTTTAGTAGAGACTGGGTTTTGTCATATTGCCCAGGCTGGTCTCAAACACCTGACCTCAAGTGATCTACCTGCCTCAGCCTCCTAAAGTGCTGGCATTACAGGCATGAGCCACCACGCTCAGCCAAATTTTTTAATTCTTTTTTTTTTTTAAAAGAAAGAAAGAAAAAAAGAGTGAAGGAGAGGAAGAAAGGAAGAAAAAGACGGAGAGAGAATGGGAATATTGCTTTATTCTAAAAATGGGTATTCATAATGGCCGATCAATATTTTGTGTATTTAAGGTGGAGAATGTTTATTTTGTGTATTTAAAATGGAGAGCTCTATAAATATTTATTGAGTTTACTTGTTCTGAATCTGAGTTCAAGTCCTGGATATCCTTATTAATTTTCTGTCTCGTTGAGTCTAAATCTCTTTATGAGTCTTATGTATCTGGGTGTTAGGATCGTTAGCTCTTATTGTTGCATTGATCCTTTTACTGGTATATCTTTGTTGCTTTGAAGTCTATTTTATCAGATGCGAGAATTGCAACTCCTGCTTTTTATTTATTTGTTTATTTTTGCTCTCCATAAGGTTGGTAAATCTTTCTACATCCCTTTGTTTTAAGTCTTTGTGTATCTTTGGTGAAATGGGTCTGGATGTAGCATATCCTTAGGTTTTGGCTGTATCTTTTGCTTGGGGGATTTAGTCCACTTAAATTTAGGGTTACTGCCATTTGATGTTAACTGGCTATTTTACCCATTCATTGATGTAAATTCTTCTCTATGTTGATGCTCTTTACTTTTTGGTATATTTTTAGAAAGGCTAATACTGGTTTAAAGAATTTTTTAATTCTTTAAATCACAAGTTGATAGACATATCTGAGACAGTAATAATAAAAAGAATATAGAATCTATAATAAGAAGGCCGTCTATAATGAGAAGGCCTCAGTCCCAAGTCCTGCTCTACTACTTAAGTGCTGTGTTACCTACCTCTAACAAGTAATAGACTTTCTGTACTTCATTTTTCTTTTCTTTTCTTTTCTTTTTTTTTTTTTTGTGTGTGTGTACTTCATTTTTTTCATCTGGACAGTTTGTATGCTATAAAGCACTATATAAACATTAGGTGTTATCAGCATTATAACAATGCTTTTAACTTCAATTTTTCTGGGAAGGCAAAGGTACAAAATAAACCTAATAAACCTACAGGTTTCACAATTACCATCTGGCTTTCTGGGCTTGTCCCCTACAAAGAGGACAAGATTGTAGGCAATTGATTAACTTTGTTTTTTTTGAGATGGAATCTCACTTGGTTGCCCAGGCTGGGGTGCAGTGGAAGGATCTCAGTTCTCTGCAACCTCTGCCTCCCAGGTTCAAGCAATTATCCTGCCTCAGCCTCCTGAGTAACTGGGATTACAGGCACCTGCCATCATGCCTGGCTAATTTTAATATTTTTAGTAGAGATGGGGTTTCACCATGTTGCCCAGGCTGGTCTCAAACTCCTGACCTCAGATGATCTGCCCACCTCAGCCTCCCAAAGTGCTACGATTACAGGCATGAGCCACCCACTAACTTCTGTTAAACTCTCTATTCATTCATGATGCGTGCAATTTTTTTTTCTTTTTTTGAGACAGAGTCACATTCTTATTGCCCAGGCTGGAATGCAATGCTGTGATCTTGGCTCACCGCAATCTCCGCCTCCCAGGTTCAAGTGATTCTCCTGCCTCAGCCTCCCAGGTAGCTGGGATAACAGGCATGCACCACCACACCTGGCTAATTTTGTATTTTTAGTAGAGACAGGGTTTCTCCATGTTGGTCAGGTTGGTCTCAAACTCCTGACCTCAGGTGATCCGCCTGCCTCAGCCTCCCAAAGTGC